TACGCTTAAATGTGCCGTAATTAAGCACAAGAAACACACTGGCAGTACCAAAAGTTATCATAAGAACTCCAGGACATATTTTGAGTTATCACAAGAACTCCGTAACATTAGAAAAATCGGGTATACATTTATTAGCCCGGGCTTTATGTTTGCAACTCTCCACTATAATTAGGTGATTATGTATAGCAACGAAGAAGATCACAAATGAAAAGGTCAATATATGTACGAATTAGCAAATAATTTGGAAATTTTTCTCAAAACTACCAGATTTTTTTTTAAACGGCGACGAAATATGGACTAAAAGATTTTTTCTGAAACATAATTCAATATGTAGGGCAAGCTTAATTATCAAAGTTTAATTTAGCACCTCAAACTCCCCATTTAAAGTTAAAAATAACCATTATTTACGCGAGTTCTCCAAGTATATAGAAAAGTTTTACACAGAAATCAGTAACGTTTTCCAGGAACTCCGTGACAGTTATAATAAGAACTCCAAACAAGTTATCATAAGAACTCCATCCTTCGTGTAACACTTCCTCCCCAGTGAATAGGTATCAACATGAAACTTTGTAGGTAGATAGATCTCATTGAGTAGGTGTGCAGTGAACAAGAACCTTAACTCTGCCTTGCCTAATTTTTGAATTATCCCCCTTTGTTTATTTTTACACTTTGAACTTTGTCCGGGACTTAACTCTAAATGTATAAGAGATATCAACATGAAACTTTGTAGGTAGATAGATCTCATTGAGTAAGTTTGCAGTGCACAAGAACTGTAACACTGTCTTGCCTACTTTTGGAGTTATTGCCCTTTGTTCATTTTGACACTTTGAACTTTGTCCAGGACATTACTCTAAAATTATAAGAGATATCAACATGAAACTTTGTAGATAGATAGGTCTCATTGGGTGGAAGTGCAGTGCTTAAGAATCATTACTCTGCCTTGCCTTATTTTGAAGTAATTGCCCTTTGTTTATTTTTACTTTTTGACTTTTGTCCTTGACATAACTTTAAAACTATAAGAGATATCAACATGAAACTTTGTAGGTAGCTAGATATAATTTGATAGAACTGCAATGCTTAAAGAACCTAAACAAAGCCTGGTCTAATTTTGGAGTTATTGCCCTTTGTTCATTTTTACACTTTGAATTTTATCCAGGACATAACTCTGATATCATCAGGAAACTTTATAGATAGATAGATCTCATTAAATAGAAGTGCAGTGCAAAAAAAACATAACTCCGCTTTGCCTAATTTTGGAGTTTTTTGCCCTTTGTTCATTTTTTTTATACTTTCCTGTGTCCAGAACCTTCTCGGGGAGCATCACCCGGTTCAACCGGTTCTTGTATTTCCAATGTCAAGTTGTTTTTCAAATATTTCTCTTTAATCATATGCATGTATATAGTAACATGTAGGGGCTGATATACATTATATAAATCAGAATAAACATTTTAATGTCAATAGAATAAGGAAGATATTACATTACGTTGGTATCATTGTTTAACTTAACGGACATAAAATAATAAGAGTATATAATTAAGAGATAATTGTTCTGTTAAGTGAATGTAAGACACTTGAAGTTGTTGAAATACATTCCTGCTTTATATAAAATTAAATGGGAAGAAAATAAACCGAAATAATTTTGTCTTGTTTTATAATAATAATTGCAATACCAGTTTTGGTCTCTGAGAATATGGCATCGTAAATTGTTGAAAGAAGCCGGAAATGGATGATAATCAGGTAAAACTGAATGAAAATTGAGTGATTCAGACTAAATCGGATAATTTCAGTAAATTGCAGCTACGTGCTGAATGACCCCGAAAAACATAGTATTGAGATATTGAAATCATTAAATTCTTTAAAATTTCATTATTAAACATAGTTAAAGCAGCATACTTTAAGATCCATGTTTATTTTCATAACAATTCGGAAAATGTATTTAAAAGTACAATATTGTGAAGTGAACAAAGGAAGCAGTTTACACATTGCAAACGACACTTACAATCTACGTAAAATAGCCCCTACTGTATTATATTGTTGATTGCTTTGTTTTTCTTTTTGTTCTTGTTTTTATTTCAATATGGTATACATGTACATTTATATAATCAAACAACGACGTGACAATCCATCAACATGTCCATACGCACTCGTAAAAAATAATTCTCTTACGTCTTTGTGTGATATAACATGTAAGTTTGAATATAGAAATCAACTCCAGTTTCAATTTAAAAATGTAATTATTTTATTTGAAAAATATACAACGTTTCGACTCAAAAGTCTTCATCAGGTATGTGATATAACATGGCATTTTACAGAACAACTAAATTGTACGCACATTTTTGAGTAAAACGTTTATAACTATTCACGGTAATAACGCCGTCCTAGAACTTATCATCGACCATTATTCCACAACAATTTCCTGTAAAGAAGACGAATATTACCGAAGCTTGACTGAGCATTCAGATTTTTTTTTCACCACATTTCTACTGCGTTACTAGCACAGCAAGGGCTATTTTTTATATACATGTATCTAAATTTTCATGAAAATTAGAGCAAAAATCTTGAGCGTGCTGCTTTGAGGATATGATGTCACAGTTTATATCATGTCTTGGAAATAAGATGATTCTTGAATGTATTCAAAAAGTGATATCTCATTTTTTATTTATTCCTGCAATTTTTTGAAACATAAATGTTGGTATGTCTGTGTACATTCATTACCTGAGTATTTTGACCTTATATAAGGATGGTTCCACTTACTATATTTAAAAATGCACATCGTGTAATGATATATTGACATCATATAAAGACACATTCAGTTGACTACATATAAAGATGGATCCACATAATATATCAATGAGTGCACATTGTATACGGAAAGTTTGACTCAATATATTGCTAGTTGGACATAACAACGTTCAGGTTTATAATAATAAGACAGTCAAGGCTTTCCATATACTGGTATATGTCTATTCGTGCAACAAGTCGTTACATGTACTTATGATGGCTTACAATTGACACGGTATTTTTTAAAAATAAGAATGTGAGCTTCGTCGTTAGTAACGTTTATAATTAACATGCTAAGATACGTGTATATAGGAGTATATGTCAAGCAAAACATTTACGTTGCAGTTTTAATCCATCAAATAAAACGACGTCACTTATAATGTTAAAAAGCGTTATAAATCAAGTTTTCTTTGTCAATTTGTCTTGAATGATTTAGAATAGATTATATTTTGAGAATATTTGAAAAAAGTAAAATGTCAAATTTTACCACTATGTTGGAAATGTCATGTCACGGCTCATATTTATCTTGGGTATTGAATGACTGATGGAAGATTTATATTTATTACATTATGACCAGTATATATGATCTGTACATCTAGGAAATGGAATGATGGTGTCTCGAATTCTGGCCACTGAAAGGTGCATTTAGGGCCTTAGAATCCTAATAAATCAATGACGCGACGCAGTTGAGAGCGAACAAATAATTATTTAAATGTTCTAGTATTCTTTATAAAAATGTGTTCTTATTGAAACTGTTATTCAATACTAATGGTGATAGTTATTTTAATGATGACATCATCTCCATTGTTAATATTTTAATATAAAAAATGCATTTCCTTTGACTACATGTACATAAACAGAAGACATGATAAACCTCCCTCGCCGCTTGTTTTGTTTGAAATAATTGATTATGTGGATAAATTTATTAGGACGTGTCTCGAATGTTGCACTGTTTTAAACTTTATATTTCAAAAATGAGCTATATACATATACAATAAGTTTAAGGAGATACAGTGGTTTAATATATGAAAATAACAGTGACTTAATTTCAGTTCAACTTAAGTTGAAACAGTTATTTTTCTATTACGGTTTATTTGTATAATTAATAAAACATTTATTTATTGATACAGCTTCCTTTGCTGCAAGAGTTTATTTTGCATTTTGTCATAGATGGGATATATCAAAGATTAAACATCAAGGTCATAAGAATATAAAAACATTTACCGTTGAACACTTTTAGAACTTTATATTTTAACTTTTTAAATGTAAAATATGCAATCCAAAGGTAAATTCAAACGGTAAAATAGCCCAAAAGTTGTTTGATTAGCACAAGATGGATATCTGGTTCAGTAAATCCGGAAGTATTGTCTTTCGTTAGATGGTTGTATTGAATATGATTGATACGTTAAACTTGAGTTTGCAAACATTTTTTTTCTATTTAGCTTGTTTCATGAAAAAAGGAAAAGAAAACGTTAAATTTAATTTAAAAGATTTAACATGAATTCGGTAAGTTATTGGGATAATGAAGATTTTGCATGTTTACAGAATTAAAAGTGAACTCAATTGTTTCCTTAGTGTACGATTCTTAAATGCATGATATTTCTGCATCGGGATAATGTAAAAAGCAAGTTTGTGTATTTTTACATCAGGGTAAATATATTTGCACAGCAATTGCTGATCTATATCATTCGTAAATTGATATCAGCAACCAAATACATTGATATTTACATTCGAACTAGTTGCTTCTATGTAGTGACTTATAAAAATAAGTTATGAATTGTTTTCATATTAATATCTTTAATGTTTTAGATTTATTCAAAGAAAATGAATGGAGCTGGGAAGTAAACAACAAAACCCAGATCGAAGTTGTTTTTTTTTTTTTTTAAAGTCTACAATTAACATTAGGTGTTTTGTTGTTGTTGTTTTTCTGTATGTGCGAAAACGTGTACTTAACAACATCTTTTTGCGTGCACTGTCTGTACAATATTTAACTTTTTATATGCACCATGCCAGCAGTACTCAAGCAAAACCACAATTTAAGCATAATGTTTTCATGATAATATGTTGAAAACCCATATGCCACACACATTTGAACAAGAGCTAAGAACGAATAAAAATGACAAAAAAAACATACACTTACTGTAATAGTTTAATCATAGAATATTTTAAAATTATCATTATTCTTTGAAAGCTTGTCAAATTTTGCATTTTATTTTAAGATTTCAGGAAGACGGCTGGTCCGATGGTTTGTTTTCTCCATGGCAACGGTGGTGCTGAAGTATGGAGCGATAATAGCAGCTTTAACGGTGTGCGGCCTCCTTCTATATTTAGCTGAATACCGGTCTATAATTAGACTAGGAGATCTAAAAATAGATTTACAGACTGGATCTCAAGGAAACCTTGAAAACGTGGAAGATGATGCATTCAATGGAAAATATAATGCTGAAAAAGTCTCGTTTCATGTAGATAAATACAATCTTACAAATGAAGTTCTTGAGCTGAAAGGATCTTTTTACGGAACTAATCAATCAGAAGTTAAAACTGTCAAAATACATGGGCTATCAAATTTAATAAATCAAGCAAAACCTTTCATTGTAGCAGACGATAAATTAGAACAGTCTGATCTTGAAAAGGGGCGTTTCTTTAAAGTTGATAGAGTAGTGAAGGAAGTTAACTGTAATGCTATCATACATGGTGATAAAAATGAGACCAAAAAAGCGGAAAATATTTCCGAAAGTCACCCTAAAATTGGCGTGAAACCTGAACAATATATAAAACTTGCCAAAAATTGCTCAAACTTTATATCTGAAAGGGGTTACATCACCGATTCATTAACAGAGGTTGAAAAGAATTTTCATATTGCATTTAGTCTTTTAATGTTTAAAGACATAGAACAAAGTGAACGACTTTTAAGATCTATTTATAGACCACAAAATTTTTACTGTATACATGTTGACAAGAAGACATCAGATGACATTTTCAAAGCTATGTCTTATATCGCAGACTGTTTTGAAAATGTATTTATTGCCAGCGAGCGTTTTGACGTGCAATGGGGAACAATGACTGTGTTAGAGCCGGATTTATTATGCATGGAAGAATTATGGAACAAAAGTAAAACATGGAAATATTTTATCAATCTAACGGGACAGGAGTTTCCATTAAGAACTAATTATGAACTTGTGCAAATATTAAAAGCATATAACGGTGCTAATGACTTGGAAGCGACAGTTAAACAGTAGGTGATTAATCAATTCAAAATTATGTTGGATGTAATTTGATTAATTTCATTGTACATAGCGACAGCAAGAGTTTTAAATGATATGGTTATTTTACCACTAATAGAAAATGTTTTATGTACACAATGTACAACGTTACGGCCGCTGCGGTGGATTCTAAAATTAAAGATTCAAGTCCCTTTTAAGTGATTAGGCAACTTATAAAAAGCAGCAATTTATTTGTTTCTTTAAACACAACCGTTATATTACTACCCGAAAGATACAATAATTTTATACGCAATTAAAGCTTTTTTAATATTTTTTCTTGGCAAATTTTTGTTATGAAGTATGACATATAAATAATGCTTTCAAACGACAATAATTAAATCAGTATTAAGTCAGTATTTTAGACAAATTTTGCAAACTTATTTCTTGTACAAGCGCTTGTTGGCTTATAGAATAGGAAAAATGGAAACCTGATAAAGGGCCACAATTCCCAGTCGCCTTAACAAATTGGTCTCAAATATTAATGTTTTTGATAAGTTTTTTCTAAGACCATGAATTTAAAATGATACTACCGAATAGAAATCATATCGTTCTATGTTACCGGATACAAATTACACATGTATCATAATTTACTCAAAGAACCACTGATTAAACAAGAATGCCAAGTAAACGAAAAGACCCAAAAGAATATTTGAATTTTACGTAATTTATGAATTCCGAATTCAAAGTTTAAATCAAAGTAAATCATTGTATCACAAATCTGAAACAAACATTTACAGTCCAGTCCAAAAGGTATATACAAAAGCAGTTATATTTTGCTTAACATAAGTATGTATCGTTAAATAAGTCGCTAAACAATGATATTTTGTACAAATTGTGTTTTTAATTTTTTTTAGATAGTTCTGACGAGCATTTTCCTACTCGTTTAGACTTTTTGTAAAAAAACAATAGAGAAAGTATTTTAACATGACCTTTATTCGATTGGTCGTAAAGGTGCGATTGAAAGTTACATTCACCTCTATTCGATGGCTTTGACTTATTGTCAATAATTAGTACGTATCGACCAATCAAAAATATCGTTACATAGAATAAGTATCTGTCAATGAATTCTAACGTTAAAATTACATTGATGAAAAGGCGTTCACGGAAAAACTTTTCCGTTTGTAGTCCATTTTTAAAGGCTATTTTGTGTGAAACAAAAAATCGATTAGACAATTTCTATTTTACTTTAAAAACCCGTTAATTCTTATTCCAACTTATAATGAAATAAAAAGTACAACTTTACAGTATGTATGATTCGGTGAAAATCTGACTCATAGGAAATTCACCAATTAACATTGTTCTGTACATCATATTCACCAGCTGAAAAGTCAATATTTGAATAGGACTACTAATGAGTAATCCATTGTTTTCTGTTACATGTATTTGTAAGAATATCCTGTTTTGTTAATTTACTAAACGAAGTGTCACCGTAATTTTCAACCTTCCAATTGTCGTATCAAATACAAAATATGTGGATAAACTCTTTTTGTGAGGCTCAACTCCCAATAACTATACAAAGATTGAATATAGCTTGCCTAAGACAATTCAAGATGTTTTTATTTTTTCTATCAAAATAGTACAGCACGATCTGATTTGTTATTTTTCATAATAGCGTTTATAATAATATATTACAAAAGTTTTGATTCATGTTTCCAATAAAAAGAACTTTACCATTACAATGCTTTTTGATTACAAGTTTTTACATAGGCAAGGAGAAAAATTTTAACTGGTGAACAGAACTTTCTCACGCTTTGCATGAAAAAAGAATCATAATTGAGACAATTTCTTTTAAAAGGAGTAGTCACTGTCCTACTTTCTGAAAATGAAGACATCACCGGAAACGTCTCTAAGATTATTTTGTGACTGAATAGATTCTATTTCATAAAAAAAATCCATAACCATTGGTTGCATCATAAAAAGACGTTTGTATTTTCAGTGCTAACAAAGATAGATGGGAGGGTGTCGGTCCCCCGCCCCATGGAATTGTTCCAACAAAAGGTTCGGTCCATATCGTTGCCAGCAGAGGATTTGTTGATTATGTATTGCATGATCAAAGAGCACACGATCTTTTGAATTGGACAAGAAATACCAAAGTACCAGATGAAACATTTTTTGCATCATTAAATCATAATCCTAGTCTAGGAGTTCCAGGCTCATATAAAGGTGAGTGTTTATTTATAAATACATGAATATCAACCCTTGATTAATATTTGTGTGGTGGAACTGAAATGGAATAGTCCGTTCAAGATCGAAGGATTTCAATATCAAAATTTTACAAAAAGACAAAAGACTTTGAGCTGCCAACAGTATAGAGCCTGGTCAGATTCCGTGGATATACAGACAGGCCTTGCACTTGGTGGCAAAGGCTAAACACCCGGTTCTAGCAGATTAAGGGTTCAGTTAAATGTGTAGGATTTAGTGCTTCCATTTGCAACGCTACAGTCGTGCAAATCATATCGGAAATATCCGCGCTAGCCCATTCAAATGATATCACCGAAAGAACAAAATTTGCATATTCGCTGTATATACACATTTCTAAATTCCAAATTTCACCATTGTATAAAAAAACTATCAATGTAGAATTCTGCTTAAGCCGGTGCTGTGTGGTGGGGGCGCTGACTGAGACTAACCATTACCGTCCTTGAAAAAGGACCTGAAACATTTTCAAACTTGCCGTTTTGGCCATTCTTTGACGAATCCAAACAGGGTTTTTTCCTAATTTTATTGTCACATCATAGTTGATTATATTGTGTGGTGGTCGTAAAAAGTAAATTTGATAAAATATATTATATTTCGTGCCCTTACCATTGGTAATTTATAAAGTGGGTTATTTTTTTCTTGGGTGGTTCCTTTATTCCTAATTGATTAATGTACAATCACCCTTGGAATACATTGGCTGTGTTTTAATTTGTCTGTAGATGTCCGACAAATAAGCCGGCTGCCCCCTTTAAAAACTCAAATTAATTTTGTCCCGTAGATTGTTTCTCGTTTAGGACAAGCGGATTCTTTAACTTGGGGACCATGCGCGGCTTTCATCGAATGGTTTGAAAGTGTGACATTGAATGTTCGATGATCACAGTCGTATGAGCACATCTACGAATGTTTCTTATTTCCAAATATCACCAGTGTCCTGTATAAATGTTGGAATTCTGATAAGCCGGTGCTAGAGAGTGCGTGTACGGTGGCTTGCATTTACCTCTATGAACATAAACCTAGCCTGCAACAATTTCATTTCTGACGTTTTAGTTGTTATTTTAAGGTTCTTTCTTTTATTCATTCGTATATTCACGTTTATTTTTTTAATCAAACATCGAAATGAATGTTACAAAATAACTAGTAAGAAAACAATGCCAGTTGTCAATGAATGATTGTTTTCATTGTTTAGATCGAAGTCGTACAACAAACTTGCAATAAAATTAGAAAGAATCTGACTCAGTTTTACTTAACATTTTGACATTTGTCATTCAGAAATATTGTATACCTAACAATAATTGTATATTTATTCTGTTCATATAAAAAATTAACTTTGCCGTATACAATTGAAAACCTCTCATTTCAGTGTGCCGTATAGTTTTCGGCAGTTTGGCCTATTTTTAATATGTAGTGTACACAGTTATATTTCTAATGTTTCATTATTTTTACAGGGTATCCCGAGACAGAAATGAAGGATGATATAAAGCCATTTGTTGCACGCTTCAAAAATTGGGGCGCAGGAAAATATAACTGGCCTTGCCACGGTCAAAGAGTGCGTATGGTGTGTGTGTTCGGTACTGGTGATCTCCCTTTAATTGCGTCAAGACGAGAACTATTCGCCAACAAATTTTATTTAAATTATCACCATTTTGCCTTAGACTGTGTCGAAGAATTACATTTTAATCATACTAGAGACGAATATTTAGGAAAATTAGCATTTGATCCAAGATGGTATTCACAATTAGGATTTGTGCGAAATACAGTAAAGTAATATTTCATGATAAACAAAGCAATGTGAACGGTTATAACTGTTATGTAGGCCTAAGTCAGTTGAACAGAAAAAAATATTCATTTACAGAACATTATTACATTAAGAGCGCATAATTATGAATAAACTAAACGTATGTCGTCGCCTTTTAAGTGTTGACATTGTTCGCGCTTTATAACAGATTATATGTGTTCTGAAATAGGGTTTTTGCGCGTGCAATTTATTATATGCTTTTTCATTAGCTACTATCACTGTCTCCTAGTTACTTGATATTCGTATGGTGTTTAAACAAGACAACGCACAGCCGGGTATACAGATCTCTTGTTAAATACTGGTCAATTTTCTTACACTGTGATAAGCGATATAAATGTTTATATAATGTAATTATCACCTTCAGATGTAGAATATGGAAATATGCTTACATTTGCTATTTTACACCAATTGAGTTTTGAATCTTAGAAACGGACCGACAAGTCCTTGCATCCGACACTGTATTTAGTTATGTATATATTATTAGTTATAAAGATGTTTGACCTTTTATATGCTCTATATTTATAAACGGTTGTTTGAAAATATAACACGAGCCACTACGCGAGGGCTATATTGCAAACGACCGTTCATATACGGTCATAATACCTGTCAGATATATTTATAACGAATTCATAATACAACACGCATCATTTTTTAGTGAGAAAAGTAAGATTTCTTCATAAATTGACAGCAGCCGGGTATCTTAAACTTTATAATACTGCACGTTTGCAACGTCGCTTAACAAACAGCCGTTTAAATAGGGCCATATAACCTGTCAACAATCTTTATAACTAATATTATAATACTGCACGTTTGTAACGTCATTTTTCATTGGATAATCGTGACGTTTATATAGTTTTATATATCGGCTGCCGTCGATTCATGAAGAAATCTTACTTTTTTTCTCTAAAATGATGCTTGCTGTATTATAAATTCGTGACAGGTTATATGGCCGTATATAAACGGCTATTTGCAATATAACCCTCGCCTAACGGCTCGGGTTATATTTACAAATAGCCGTTTATATAGGGCCATATAACCTGTCAACGATCTTTATAACTACATGTAATAATATAAACGTCACGATTATGCAATGAAAAGTGACGTAACAAACGTGCAGTTTTATAATAGACTACTAGTCTATATGGACGAAAAACGAAACGTTTTGTTCTTGATTCTACAAAAATCATTTTTTAGTAGATAGTGCTTGATAAATCGGCAACAAATGTTCTATTTTAACACGACACATGGGAACACTTTTATAAAATGTTATTGTAAACTATGTATATTTGCCTTTTATGGAACATGTGATATGTCTCACTTCAAATATTTTTCTAATTATATTTCTTATCAAAGTGCCATATTGCTGTACAATATATATTTCTTAAAGCAGATATTTTTACAACTAAATTCTTGTGTTATGCATGACTGGTTTATATTAAATGAAAATTATTTTTTTGTTTATAAATTGACATTGTAGGTAATGTATGTGATAGTTTTATTGTAAAGTTATGAATGTTATTTTTTTAATTATATGCTTTTATGAGGAGGTAAAATTAGCAAAATAACATTGAAACATATTTTCGTTAAATATATATTTATTTATCATATACAAGTAGAGTTTGTGTTCTTACTTTGCCCCGTCACTTCTCGTCTGTGGGGGTAAATCATTGTATAACCCTGGGGATGCAAATTTTCAATTGTAGAATACGAGAAAATCTTTTTTTTTTCGCGAATGTTTAGCTTTATATAGAGATTTTCTTTTACCAAATTGGATTGGTCTACAATAGGAACATTATTTCAAATATTGATAAAAGCAATAGAAATATATCATTTGTATATTCTTATAAAATTATTCTTGATAAAAAATGTTGATAGAGTATTATAATGAATAATTTAGTATGAGCATTTATCTGATGTTTAACAATACTTTGTTCTACAACAATTTATTCTCTGCTATATAATGATTATAAATTGATCCCAATCTGTAGCCGATTTTTTGTCTCTAAGTAAATTATAGTCACCTTTGTCATTCAGCCATACAAGACGCTCACGGTTTTGAAAATTGGAGAAAGGCATAAATATGACAATGAAACCTACTTCAGATAAAAGACCGCAATTAAGATACGTTTTGAATAAGACGGCATGATTTCAATCCAAAAATACATTCTGATCCTCTAGGTTCGAGGTCTAACCTCATAGTGGAATTGTTCCTTCACATTCACAATTACACCTACACAATTGTTTCACCTACCTTTTCGTTCTTTTCTGAAGTATGAAAGGTTGAATGTTTGTTTCGATGTGTGAAATGTTCGAGTTTAACCATGTTTCAGTGAACGCCAGAATATCAATCATACCAAATATTCTGCTTCCATAATATCAATTTTAATTATGAGGCTTAGTATAAAAGAATGTTTGTTTTTACATGTAGAATTGCGGTATTCAATGGATTAAACTATATATTCAAATATGTCCATGGGATCATTTTCCTTGAGAGATTTCGTGTCTGAGGAGGGGATTCTTTTTTAGTGAGTTAGACAATTGTGATATCAGCAAACAATCTGGTTTGTTCTCGTACGTTGCACAAAATTAATACTATATGTCTTATGGTGATTTTCTAGCTTTAAATACTGGTGGAGGAAGACTCAAGTGTCACTCCGTTCAGTATTTCAGGCAACGTTGATAACCTGTACAAGAGAGAACATTTTATATAATACATGAATTCATCAATATACGTGCTGCCATAACGTTTAAAAAGTGTGCTGATTTATCATTCCCGCGAAAAAAAAGAGTACATACTTACAAATTAAAAAGAGGATGGAGATGTTTCATTTGTGTATTTATTTATAATTGTGTATTAAAATGAAATATATATAATAAAATCTCAATGAAATGATTTAACTGAACATTTTTAATAGTTTATTTATAAGCTTTACCTTCGCAGTCATTGTTTGTGCGAAATGACTGTCCGAAGACAGACCAGTAATCCACACCCCAAACAGTTGACTGGAGGCAGGTCATTCGGATGTACTGGAACAAAGGCTGTAGTTGGTCTGCTGTATTGAGGTCCTCTTATCTCGAAAACACTTCCTCAATATGTTCTGCTGACAGGAAGGGCATGCAAAACAACATGTGGACTGTCGAGTATGTGCCACGATCCTGAATATATTCAGTGGCCAAACCTAGTGTCTGTTAATAACGGGAAAAAATGTTTATAAAAATATAATGTTTCCCTACAGTCAACCTGTTTAAAGTATCAGAAATGTAAATCGTTTGGTTCTCTTGTCGGTTCCATTTTGAATTATAATTCGGAGATAAAGGGGAATGCACGATGCTAAAGATATAGAAATTATTCATACTTAATTTTTGCGGAGAGTCTTAGGGGTAAAATAATCTATTAACTTGTCAGCACTTTATAATGAGCTTGGTCGTTATCCGTTACATATTACTAGAAAACTTAACATGATAAGATATTGGTCAAAAATTCTTTAACAAAATGATCCATCCCACAAGTCAGACACAGATGTTGGTCGAAATTATATCGAAAAAAATTGGGCTTCTTTAATATAAAGACACCTTGTCAAGTCTTGGCTTTTCATATATTTGGGACAATCAGTTTGATATAGATATACCATATAATACTATTAAACAAAGATTAATTGACACCTTTATACAAAGTTGGTATGCATATATCAATAAATCACCAAGATTACAAACATACTGTATATTTAAACATTCTTTTGTAATGAAAAGTATCTAGATTATGTCCAAGAAAGTAAATTCAGAACTGCTTTAACTAGATTTCGAACATCTTCCCATAATTTATTTATAGAAACTGGTAGATATGAAAACATTCCTATAAAACAGCGAATATCTAAATCATGCAATATGAAGCAAAAAGAGAGTGAATACCATTTTCTCCTTGTATGTCCCAACTACCGAAATCTTCGAACAAAATATTTTAAACCATATACTACTGCCATTGGCCGACTTTTGTCGTCAGACTCAAAAAAAATAAATATATATGTCCTTTAGCTAAATTTCTATATTGGGCAAATCATAAACGTATCTCTTAATCTGGTAATTTTCTGTAAAACTATATTGTTGATAAGTACAAGTCTTATTTGTTCCTATATTAACTTGTATTCTTCAGAAAACTGTGTATTGTTAACTGTACATGTGTACGTATCACTGTTAATTGGATATAAACAATGTATTTTGTTTTATGCTTAATAAAATTCGTATTCATAGAAGTAAATAAGTTAACTTTATAACGAAGACGACTTAGTGAAATATCAGCATTATTGCTTTGACAAACATTGCTAGATTAAATAAAGTATTTCTGTTATCACTACACAGTAAAGCCTGAAAATTTAAAATACTACATGTAGGAAACGTTGAATAGTAATTAACTGATATACTTAATTGTGTCTTTCATGAGTAAAATAACTACATTTAAAAATATACTGAAATTCATCCCCTATTTCTTACTGGTTACAAGGTGAGCATGTTCTATTTTCTTTTTCAAAACCAAAATAGCTAGCGACCTTAAATTTCTCTATAGAAAGATCAGAATTGAATCTAAATTTACAAAGAGTAATTGCTAGATTACTTGGTAAACATAGTAATAATGTTCTAGATAATTATGAGTTTCATATATTCTAAAATTTAAACACTTAGCACATTTTAAAACATCACAATTTCATCCTTGTAAAAATTGATCACGTAATCGTGATTTTCTTACATGTTTAAAGTTATTAAAATTTGTAAAATTCTGGGTTATACAAAAATCAGAACAACCAATATTATTCAAAGTAGATTTTACATTTTCAATCCACTGACAATGAAAAATACCCTTTTCAGATTTCAGAAGATTATACATAGTGCGGTACAAAAAAGCATATTTTTTAATTTTTTTTCCTTCTAAAAATTCAACATTCTGCAAGTAATATCATTTTAAAGAGGAATCGTCAATGAACATAATTCTCCTAGGACTTGACCGTGCACACCGTGACGGTAAAAAGTTTAGACCAAACCCATTAAAATGGTTTTCCGGTCGGATCCTTGCGGAATAACTTGTGTGATTATTACATATTCTGCCGTTATATATGCCGATTATGTCGTCGTCCGACATCTTATTCTACCAGCTATGTCTGATACGTAAGAATATCCATCATTTATCTGTATATGTGTATATTAAAATTGTTGAGTTACAAGTTTTCGGATATTTTTTTTTTCGGATGCCAGACATTTCGCTCCCAAGACATTTCACAATTGAGACGGTTCACACCTAGTCGTTTCAATCCCAATTTGTAATTGTCTGGACGTTTCACTCCCATTTTTTAAAATGTTTATTACTTTAGGAAAGTGAACAAATTTATTTTCATTTATAATTCAGGGGAAATTTAATTTAATGTTTCATTTTGTTGATTTTGAGGGTCTTGTTAATAAGAATTTATGAATTTGAAGAAAAAATATTGTTTATCAAATGTTACAGTAGGTATATTTTAGTATTTCACAAGTATCAGAATAATTTTGGTATAAAAAGGGAGCCCATGCTATAAATAACACTAGCAACCCCAACTGATAAGCTTCAGTATTTAGAATATATTGAAAAAATCAATACTGTGTCCAGAAATATGTTTGTTAAACAATTAATTTTAATTTTACAATAATAAAACTTATATAAATTAACTAAGTGATAAATTATCTTTCAAATGATATCAAATTCATAAATCATGTAGAATATATGTATTATAAACATTCTCAGTTAAGTCTAATATACAGCGGTAATTTCTGCGGATTTTACGTAACTGGGCTATGGACACATGCTTGTTACATGTATGCTGCGTGACCTGTTTCACGGGTCATTTGTTCCTAATTAATATTCATGATATTTTACAACCAATTAGAATTATGTTTGCACTTCATCCCTTGAAGTTTCGTCACTCAAATATGATGACAAACAAAAAAGTTATGATGACCTAAACTCTTAAACAATTTGCATGAAAACTATCGGTTAGTATAAAAAAAACGATAAGTGCTTAAAAATATAAAGAATTATCTTTAAAATGATGTATAAATCATTAAAATTTGTTAATCATTGAGTACCCTCATTTACGATTAATCATAGCGAGTTGTAGTAGAAAATCAGCCCGTCCAGAATTGTCCGAGTCCGCCATCTTGAATTAACTGACGTGGTGAAATCAATTAATTTCGATTACCGATTTATCATGTTTAAACGCGTTATAAAATGTAATTTTTGCAGATAAATGCTTCTTATACATTAAGATATATTATTATATTATTAAATGCTTAACCATTTGTTTGTAAAATTGAGAAAAAAATATTTGGCAGGCACCTGCTCAATTTCGGCATGTTTTCGAGTGTGAAAACGCAAGATATAAGTTTTGTAATGTTGCTGATGTTTCTAGTTTATCAGAAATATTGAATTAAACAATACATATCTCAGTCCTGGTGCAACACTAAGTTTCTGAAAGTAAAATTAAAAATGACTTCCCTTAAGACAAGAGTAACTGGGATAATAAGGCTGAAGCATGGTGTGAAAATTGATAATAGATTGAAATCATTAGATATCTTGTAGATTTGTTTCTCAGAATGAAAATTTTCATATCATAAAGAAAATCATGTTTTTGTGATTATTTCAGATTATGGGGAGCATTCAATGTGCTTATATTCAATGTGATAGTGTTTCTATTGACTGCAGCTCACATTAGGGCGGTTATTTCAGATCCTGGTATTGTACCACTCCCTCAAACCAGTTTGGATTTCTCTGATATGCACAGTGGCAAACAGAAGATGGTAAGGTTTTATAAATTGCCTAATTAAACTTTAACTCATTGGTGCAGGGTGTGGGGGATGTGCAGGTAACTTAACAATTCAGTCATAAAATCTCCTCGTCAGTGTAAGTATTGTGTCCTAGCTTTAGCATGTAAATTTACCATTAATAAGGAATTTTATGTTGTAGTAGCTTTCTGAGGCTTTGTATTTTGCTACGAGCAGCGGTAGAAAATTGATATCTCTTGAGACCGACAGTTGAGCGAGATATCAATTTTCAAACGTTGCGCGTAGAAAAATGCAAAGCCTCAGAAAGCTACTACAACATAATTTTACTTTTCATTTAAGTCAAAATGATTTTAATTATACTACACTTCTATAAGAATTTCAGAAAATGAACTGTAGCTGTCCAGAAATAAATTTATGACAGATGGATGAATACATAATTTTTTCAAAACCGGCCACGCCTTTAATAAGTTTGGTTCCTGTTTCCAAATGTTATGTTATACACAGCTAAGATCGGAACGAACTTCAAAAATAGTCCGGCACTTCTTATATATTTACTATTTTTTACTAAGAAAAAGAATTTTTTTCCCGTTAAAGGTTTAAAATTTGCGCTTCATGATTTGATTATTTTGGGGGAAAAAATTTATTTATATGCAAATGTTTTTTATAGAAATGAAATGTTGAATTTTATCTCTTAACTCTTAGCATTCTTAAAGCAACTTAATCTATAATCTGATCTTGATCTTGTTGTCGTTAATTCAAGAGTGATGGTTGGTCTGTTTGTAACAAGTGTGAAACATATCGTCCACCAAGAGCGCATCATTGTAGAATATGTGAGAGATGTATCAGAAGAATGGACCACCATTGTCCTTGGTAAATATATTTTTTGCTTCAGCTTCTTTTGAATATATACAAATACTCTGATAAAAGATTCAGAGCAAAGTCATATGGAGGGTGATTTATGCCAAAATTACATCTTGCTTTCTTACGTTACATCGTGCTTTCTAACTTGTACATCGTGCTTTCTAACTTGTACATTATGCATTCTGACATATACATCTTGCATTCTGACTTTTACATGTTGCTTTCTTACATGCACATTATGCTTTCTGCTGTGTGCGACTTGCTTAATTTTATGTTGATGTCGTGATTTAACGATCAATTATTATTCATTTGTTGATCTGGTATATTAATTCAATAAATTAACCTGCAACTGTTTGTATTTGGGTCCATTTACTCAGCTTGAATGACGAATGTCATAAGGTAGAATGCGCATAGCCGAAAGCCGAATGCAGCAAGCATAATACAACGCGACATCTGGTGAAATAATATGTGACACCCAAATTATGCTAACAGGTGGCGCTACAGTTATATTCTCGGGAAAGTCCATATTGCCGTTCGGATTCAGTTTACCAAGTTACGTCCCTTTGTTTTAAAATTTCCATTTGCACTCATGGAGGAAATATACAAAACGATTAACCAATTTTTATATTTATTAATGAAACTCTGTAGGTCAAATTATATTTCCAGCTGACAATGACAAGTTGCACATTTCCAAATCAATGGTTTAAGAATTTATTTTTATTCATCAACAAAATAATTATAAAATAGAACAGTTTTTCAACATTGTTCAAAGTTCTTTGACCATAAAAAAACTTCTTATTAAAATATTTCATCCTCTTGAAAAGTTCTTAAATTTTGACATGGCTTATTTCCAATACCTGTGACCATCCAAAACATTTTTAATGTGTTTCTATTAATTAGGACATTTTCTTGCCTATTTTCAAACTAATTTTGTACACACGTTAGATTTTTAAAATTCAACTTGTCAAAAAATGTCTTTTTTCACTAAGTTGAAATTATTCACTAAAATGCTTTATGAATACGGCCCCAGGTTTTTGTTCACAGTGTCAGCTTAAAACTGAAGGAACTGCTGCCAAAATCAGCTGATTCTGAGAAAAAAAAGAAAAAAAAAGGCAAAACTGTCTAGTCTGTCAATCTGTGAGAGTTTAGCTTTAGGACGAATGATTTCATAATATTAATTGATGAGTACATAAAAACAAAATGTACAAAAAAATGTCCCAAGAAATGGTTATAAAATCAAATGAATTGTTTGTCATAGAAGATATTAATAAACAGTTTTTTCTACATTCTCAGTGGTGTTTGTATTGCAAATTGCCTTAAGGTATAAAACTTTTTTGTTTTAAATGAGTAAGATCTGCTATACATTTCCAATATCATGAACGCTATAATTAAAGAAAACTACTATAAAGGCATCTTCAGCCAAACATGCAATATTCATTTTATAACCATTTCTTGGGACCATTTTTGTACATTTTGTTTTTTATGTACTCATCAATTTATATTATGAAATCATTCGTCCTAAAGGTACACCACGGTGCATATCTATATCGGTACCCTCTTTGCAAAATCTGCTCAAACGGTACCCTCTTTACACATGCACAAGTCATTCTCTGCTAAAAACAAACCAGCGATGGATAACAATCAAGTAAAATTTCAATGTAATAAGGAAAGGGGGTTTGACACGTACAAAAGATATATACCACGGAACACTAAAATGTTTTATTTTTTTGCTGATTTGTCATGTGCCCTTTTTTCATGTACTGCAACTTCACAATAAGCTACAAAAAATCGACATGTCTTGCCTCTCCCATCACCTCGACATACTTTTCGAGCTGCAATGAACCGTGGGCTCGATTATATATGCATCATACATATTTAATATGTTCATTTACATATCATCTTCGGACAAATGCCAGTATATTGTCAAAAATAAATGTAAAATTCATAAAAACACCCTACTTTCAGTTTTGCAGCGTACCCTCATGGCACAACATATGCTTTTATTTGCGTTAATCGTTAAATAGGTATGTGATATTTCTAACTTTTATGTAAATATTACATACTTGTGGGTACGTATGTGTTAAAAAATGAGAGGGTACCTGTGATATAAAAATTCAAATGAAGAGAGGTAGCCCGTGCCGCTGCAAAAGAAAAAATGGTAAAACTGTCTAGTCTGACAGACTAGACAGTTTTGACATTTTATTTTTTTTTTCTCAGAATCAGCTGATTTTGGCAGCAATTTCTTCAGTTTTAAGCTGACACTGTGAACAAGAACCTGGGTCGTATTCATAAAGCATCTTAGTGAATAATTTCAACTTAGTGAAAAAAGACATTTTTTTGACAAGTTGAATTTAAAAAATCTAACGTGTGTACAAAATTAGTTTGAAAATAGGCGAGAAAATGTCCTAATTAATAAAACACATTAAAAATGTTGTGGGTGGTCACAGGTATTGGAAATAAGCCATGTCAAAATTTAAGAACTTTTCAAGAGTATGAAATATTTTAATAAGAAGTTTTTTATGGCCCAAGCACTTTGAACAATGTTGAACGACTGTTCTATTTATATAATTATTTTGTTGATGAAAAAAAAAAAATTCTAAAACCATTGATTTGGAAATGTGCAAACTTGTCATTGTCAGCTGGAAATATAATTTTGACCCTACAGAGTTTCATTAATAATTATAAAAAATTGGTTAAATCGTTTTGTATATTTTCTCCATGAGTGCAAATGGAAATTTTAAAACAAAGGGACGTAACTTGGTAAACTGAATCCGGCAATACGGACTTTCCCGAGAATATAACTGTAGCGCCACCTGTTAGCATAATTTGGGTGTCACATATTATTACACCAGATGTCGCGTTGTATTATGCTTGCTGCATTCGGCTTTCGGCTATGCGCATTCTACCTTATGACATTCGTCATTCAAGCTGAGTAAATGGACCCAAATACAAACAGTTGCAGGTTAATTTATTGAATTAATATACCAGATCAACAAATGAATAATAATTGATCGTTAAATAACGACATCAACATAAAATTAAGCAAGTCGCACACAGCAGAAAGCATAATGTGCATGTAAGAAAGCAACATGTAAAAGTCAGAATGCAAGATGTATATGTCAGAATGCATAATGTACAAGTTAGAAAGCACGATGTACAAGTTAGAAAGCACGATGTAACGTAAGAAAGCAAGATGTAATTTTGGCATAAATCACCCTCCATAAAGTCATTATGAATCAATTAAACTTGTTACAATACAACTAAGTAACTTCACTGTTTACTTGCTGTAAGTTGCACATCAATCAATGCTCAATTATTAATGACTAACTGAAAAAAGAATTTGACACAAAATTAATCATATGTTTTAATTTAAATATGACCAGAAACTAATTTAGATCACTTGATAGTTGAAAATGTTATGTTTGTGAACTCAACAGTATCACTTAAACACTTGTATCATAGTTTGGAGACCTTTCTGTTGAAAATGTGTCAGGGTTAAATCGTATACATATACATGCACAGTGCGTTAACTGGAGTGCGGGTATTAGTTACCCGCACTCCAGAGCATGCCCATTGATTGGCTCATTTTTGCTGGGGTTTACATATTGTGACGGCAGAGAAAGGGAAAGCGACAGAAATATCATATTCAGATGTTCGTTCATTGGTTCATTTTTGCCGGGGTTTCATATTGTAAAAACAGGGAACGTGTTTTTATGTTTGACTATGATACAAAAGAGAAAGAACACCAAAACACTCGGTAATCTGATTAATACTCGGGGGCTACGCCCCCTCGTACAAATCAGATAACCTCGTGTTTCGGTGCTCTTTCTATTACTTGTATCATAGTTTGGGTACCTTTCTGTTGAAAAAGTGTCAGAGTTAAATCGTATACATATACATGCACAGTGCGGTAACTGGAGTGCGGGTATCAGTTACCCGCACTCCAGATAATGCCCGTGGATTGGTTCATTTTTGCCGGGGTTTACATATTGTGACGGCAGAGAAAGGGAAAGGGGCAGAACTATCATATTCAAATGCTCGTTCATTGGTTAATTTTTTCTGGGGTTTCATATTATGACAACAGGGAACGTGCTGTCATGTTTGACTATGATACAAAAGAGAAAGAACACCAAAACACTCGGCAATCTGATTTATACTCGGGGGCTACGCCCCCTCGTACAAATCAGATAGCCTCGTGTTTCGGTGCTCTTTCTATTACATGTAAAAAGGGTCATACCAAAATTCAACTTTTCAAATTCTGAAAATCTGATTGTGCAGATATATGCTGTACAGGTAATTCTGTTGTTTTTTTCTCTCTCCAGGATCAATAATTGTGTGGGAGAGTTTAATCAGAAATATTTTATGCAGTTCCTGTTTTATGTAGGTAAGTATAATGTTTAGTATTCAATGCAGACTAAATCTTGTAAAAGAGATATGTTCAAATTGCATCTTCAACTAAATGAAATGATGGTTTTTCTTATAAGGCATTCATTAGAAGATACTAATTGATTTACAAAAACTTACGATTAAATCCATGTGGCATTGTATGAGTTTGTACGGAAAGTTGCTTCTTCAGTGTAGCCTTTGTGACCCTCTGTAGAGCAATGGTCTCTGTATAACAATAATATGAATTTGTTCAAACTAAGAATTTACAATGTACAAGTGTATAATAGAAAAGTGTCAATCTTTCCGAACTAAGAATTCACAATGTACAAGTGTATAATTGAAAATTGTCAATTTTTCTGAACTAAGAATTTGCAAGGTGCAAGTGTTTCATAGAAAATTGTAAATTTTTCCGAATTAGGAATTCACAATAAAGTGTATAATAGAAAAGTGTAAATTTTTCTGAACAAAGAATTCACAATGTACATGTGAATAATAGAAAAGTGTCGATTTTTCCGAACTTAGAATTCACAATGTACAAGTGTATAATAGGAAGTCACAGTGTCAATTTTTCCAAACTAAGAATTCAAATGTTTGTAATAAAGAGTACATATTTATTTTGTTTTAAAGGACTAGCTGCAATACATGCATCATCTATGGTGATTGTGTCCTGGATTCTGGATCCAGCAGTTAAGGGAGAATTTAAGCATATGAAAGTGTAAGTAATGATGTGATTTTATTAGTGCTGGAAAACAAGTAAGCATTTTGATATTTCGAAAATTTGATTTTCGTTTTCATTTTGTCGAGCCCGCTTGTTGTCAAGCCAACTGATATATTTATTGATATTAATAAATGAAAAGATTAAAAAAAAACAACAACATTACACGCCATAGTTTTTTCATTGCCTTTTAATAATCTATGATATGAAAAATCAGCCAGTCACAGATTTTTTTTTTCATGGCTGCTGTATAAGTGTAAATATTTCACTGCCACTGTTTAAACAGTACAATATTTTATGTTTCAGGGTACATTCTATAATACTGGTAATAGAATGTCTACTGTTTGGATTATTTGTGATAGCCATTGGTTGTGACCAGGTACTTTAATTTTTTATTTTAATTCATTAAAATCTAGACTTAGGTTTGCTTCCCTCACTTCCAGTTTACATTTTTAGACTGGTTGAAGTTTTGGGCAACTGTGGCCGAGTGGTTAATGTTGTTGACCCCACACTGCTGTAGGAACGAATATTGCTAAGGACTTTGGCTTCTTTCAAACTGGAAGCTATCCAGCTAGCTTAAAGGACATTTGTGGTTCTACTTGGGTTCCTGTTTGTGCCGAAAATATGGCACAGAGGTGCCCTTGAGGTCTTCCTCCACCAGTTAAGCTGGAAAGTCGCAACTTGACCTTTACAGTGTTGGTGTGACATAAAACCCTACCAAATAAATACTAGACTAAGTATATGTGGAGGCAGAAGTCTGAGATTACCATGTGTGATATATTAAGTCAGGCTCCCCACGGTTACATGTTCAAACATATTTGTTTTGATTTTCATTGTAAATGTTTACATTATTTTTTATCAAAATATCCTAATTATTACCGGTAATCATGAATTTTATCAATTCAAATTGATTTATTCCCAGTAAAAACAAGAGTTTTCAAGGCTATCAAAAAATGTAGCTTACGACTTTTTGAAGGGCGTTGTACATGTTTTACTTTGATTAAACACCGACAGTACAGTGCTTCCTTAATAAGAGAATAACACACACAAGTTTACTTTATCCACTACCAACAATGTATAACCCTTGTTACGTGAAATTGTCCACATAAACAATGGTCAGGCTTCTATATAAGGGATGTGACTGAATTCTTGTTTTTGTAAAGCTGATTTTCAAGGATATAGTGCAGAAAATTTGTGTCGACTCCCATACAGAGCCGTGAATATTAGTTATTTGTACATGTATTAAAAATAGAAAGTAAGTAATCATTTGGCAACTTGAATACATTATATAGTAAATAGAAGAACCACTGTTAAAACAAAATAATTATTGAGCATTGCAGAAAGGGTCTGCTTCCACTAAAGAAGCTGAACTGTGGCCATGTGGTCAGTGCGATACAAGTCTATTGATTGAATACATTAATTGAGATAAACATGGGTATAGACATAACAGTATATCGTATAAGGATTGGACTATTTGGGCCGGGGAGAGGTGTAAGTTGTCGAAATGTCAAGAGAAATGAGGCTTCAAATACAGGTTCAGATATACACTACAGGATGTTTTTGATGGGATTCTGGCTCATATTTACACTTGGAGTTGGAACACTTTTAGCAAACACGGCAGTGGACATGGGTTCAATGGCAGATTTATCACCAGAGAAATTAAGCAAACACCCTTGTCACATACAAGAACAATTCACGCATAGCATTCTTGATGAAGCATTATGGTCACAACCAATATATAAACATTTTTATAAAAGAATTCTATTCTTATCCAAAGATGTTGAATCAAATCCGGGACCTTTAACTGATAAAGAGGAAATTTTATTAGCAATAAACCAAAATGGCGAAAAACTGCAAGCCGAAATCCGAAATGTTAGGTCAGATATGACAAAAATAAAATCAGATGTAAAACTAGTAAAAGACATTTGCATGGAAGTTAAAGGGAGAGTAGATGCCTTGGAAATTAAACAGAGTTACCAAGAAAGCAAATGTAATAAAATTGAATCAAATATGGAGCATTTACGTGGTGATATAGAAATGCTACATTTAGATATTGACACTATGCATGAAATGTGTGAACAGAAATTGGAAATCTTTAATCAGGTTGGCGATACAGTTGAAAAGCTTGAGCGACAAAATATAAGAAATAATTTAAGAATATTTGGCTTATCTGAGAACAAAGAAGAAACAGATATTTCTCTTAAAGCTTCAATATTGAATAAAGTGTTGAAAGTGGCATGCCCAGATGATACTTGGAATATAGATTGTATACTAGATGCTTATAGATTGGGAGGTAAACGGCTAAGTGAAACTAGAATGGTCATAGTTAAATTCAAAGAACAAAACTGTAAGTTTAAACTATTTAAAGGCAGGGAGAATTTGCGTATTAATGGTATACGTATATCAGACGAGCTTACTTCTAGACAAAGATCCACATTAGCAGAATTAAAACTTAATGGAAAAACAGGCTATTTCCTTAAAGGAAAACTTCATATACGAGATGAGGAAGAAAAAAGGGCTAGAACATTTATTAACGCAAGGCGTAAAAATACCCAGGAAAGCTCTGATATGGAAGTTAACCAGAACAATGACATAAATCATATTAGTGTTAAATAGCGATCAGGCCAAAGCCCATATGAACAAGAAGTAAATTTATGTTTCTGGAACATTGAAGGATTTGTGTCAAAAACACTTTTTCATGATTTTATTCTTTATTTGTCAACTTTTGAAATATTTGCATTAGGAGAAACCTGGGAAGAAAATAATTATCTTACAAATAATATAATATTTTTGTGTCACATAAATGTTACTTTTTACCAGCAGTTAGAAATTCGATGTTTGGCAGGGCCATGGGTGGCATTTCCGTGTATGTAAAAAATGAATTGATTAAATATATTACACGTGTTATCCATGAATGTGAAGTAGGCATTATATTGAAAATTTCAAAGTCTGTTACAAAATTAGCTAAAGATACATTGTTATTTTTTGCCTATTTACCACCACTTGACTCCCCTTTTTATAGTAATAAAACATTAAAAAGGTGTATCATTATTGGAGGAAGTATTAAACTCTGCTATTAGTAATTACCAAGACTGTAATATTATTATAATGGGTGATTTAAATGCAAGATGTGGTGAATTGAGCGAATGCTTAAATGTTGAACATAATATTAACCAACTTAAAGAATATAACCAATTTTTTCAGTCCAATTGATGAAAAACGTAAATCTTGTGATAAGACTATAAATTCGCAGGGTAAATTATTTATTGAAATGTGTAAAGTGTATTCTTTATATATCATGAATGGGCGTTTTGGACAAGACAAAAATTATGGTCATTTTACGTATACTTCTACTTTGGGCTGCAGTGTAATTGATTATGCATTATGCTCAGAAGATTTGATAAGTAATATTACAGATTTTAAAATTGATGAAAGGGGTGAATCAAAGCATTTTCCATTAAATATAAAGCTGAAAATGTATAAAAATGAAAGAGTAATATTAAATGCCCAAGGGAATAACAATTTTATCTTTTACAAAATCCCATATAGTGATAAGAATGTTTATCAAGAGAAACTGAGTGAATTATTCACAAAAGATGTAATGTTGAACTTTTGTAAATCCATTGAGGACACTCAAGTTGGGATCGATAATATTGTATCAAATTTTAGTACATGTCTAACTGATATTGGTAAGCATTTTCAAAAAAGTCAAATTTTAAGCTTCCTTCATCACCAAAATGGTTCGATTTAGATTGTAAGATTTTAAAAAATCAAAAAATAAACTGTTAAGACAATATAGGAATTGTAGGTCTGACATAAATTTGCAAAGATATCTTTTTAAAACGAAATGAGTTTAAAAACAAGTGTAATTTGAAGATGCGAGAATACAATAAACAAAACCTTGATGACCTGACAGCAAAAGTAAACGATCCTAAGTCATTTTGGTCAAAACTTAAATCTATGACTGGCAAGAAAAGTAGGACAGTGAACAATATTTCTACCCAGGAATGGATTGAACATTTTACAGGCCTCCTAAACCCTTATGAATGTGATGAAAATACTGGTGAAAATTTAGAAATGATAAATGAAGAAATAGATAATGAGGTTGATCAATACATTTTTAATTCTGAGATTACTGAAGTAAGAATGGCAGTTAAGCATATTAAAACTGGTAAAAAACCAGGTCCTGATAATCTAATCCCAGAGTTTTTCATTTACGGTATAGATAGCTTTATGCATATACTTGTTAAACTGTTTAATCGACTATTTGCTACAGGCGAGTATCCAGAATCCTGGTGTGAGTCTATTATAACAACACTTCACAAAAAAGGGGATATAAACAATGTGGACAACTGTAGGGGTATAAGTTTACAAAATGTTTTAGGTAAAATATATTGTGGGATTCCGACAAATATATAGTAAAATTTCTGAAAATCAGAGTGGTTTTAAAGCAGGATACTCAACTGTGGATAATACATTTATTTTAAAATCTTTAACCGATAGACTAGTTAAAAATAAAAACAAAAGATATTTGTTGCATTCATTGATTTTCATAAATGTTTTGATACCATAAATAGACAAATTCTTTGGAATGTACTTAGAAATGGGGGTGTCAGTGGAAAATTGTATATAGCTTTTCAAAGTATGTATAGAACCGTTAAAGCATGTATTAGATGTAATAATGAAAGAAGTGATTACATATTAAGTTCAGTAGGATTAAAACAAGGTTGTTTGGCCAGCCCGATTCTTTTCTCTTTCTATATAGATGAATTACAACATATTTTAGATGATAGTGGCATAAGAGGAATTCAATTACACCCGTCTGAAACACAACTTTTATCTTTAATGTTTGCAGATGATATTGCTCTCCTTTCAGATACAGTTTCTGGTTTACAAAAACAGTTAGATACTTTGTCATTTTTTTGTGATACATATAAACTTAAAGTAAATGAAAGTAAAACAAAAATAGTTGTTTTTAAAAATGGTGGTACATTATGTAAAATTGAAAAATGGACTTATAAAAACAAGCAGATTGAAGTTGTTAATGCTTTTAGTTACGTTGGTTTAACATTTACAAGACAACTTTCTATGAAAAGAATGGTACACGAGTTATGCATAAAGGGTAAGAGGGTTTTTATATCAATCTTAAAATCCTTGTATGATTGTGGCCAATTAAGTAAGAAAGTATTTTTTAAACTATTTGATACTAAAATATGTCCTCAGTTACTTTATGGGGCTGAAATTTGGGGCATGGGTAAATTTGAAGAGCTAGAACGAGTACAATATTATGCATGCAAACGCTTTATGTGTTGTAAACAAAATGCATCCAATGTAGCTGTATTAGGCGACTGCGGGAGGTATCCCATGTATTTAATATCCATTAAGAGGTGTATTAACTATTGGTTAAAAATTATTAAAATGCCAAACGATAGATTAGTTAAAAAGTGTTACTTAATGATGTTTAATGATGATATACAGGGACATGACAATTGGGTTACATCTTTAAGAAAATTTTTACAAAGTCATGGTTTTGGATATGTATGGGAAAGTCAATCTGTTACATCAGATAAATACTTTATAGCACAATTTGAAAATAGGTTAAAAGATATATACCTACAAGAGTGGCATTCATCTGTAACCTCTAATGTAAAATTTGTCTTTTTATGGTATGTTTAAGGAAAATTTCTCATATGAATGTTATTTAGATGTTCTAGACATTAGAAAATTTAGATATATATACTCAAATTTTAGAATAGGGTCACATGATCTTGAAATTGAGGTTGGTAGACATAAAAAGATATTGAGGGAAAACAGATTATGCAAAAAATGTTCTAAGAATGTAATAGAAGATGAATTTCATTTTTTACTATGTTGTGATTTTTATTCAGAACTTAGAAAATTATATTTACCGATTAAGTACCTAAATGCTCCAACCCGAAACAAATTTAATATATTAATGTCTACAAAAAATAATGATCTTATAAAGGGTACAGCAACATTTTTGTATTACGCTTTTGAAAAAAGGAAGATTAACAATTAATATGTCTTAGATACGAAATGATAATTAAGAAACTCCCAGAAAAAATTTTTATGCTTAAAAGTTATTTTCAGTTAAATTTATATAGTATATGTTTAAACATTGTGCACATGCTAAAATTTTGTGTAAATTGTTTCTCTGTATATATGTTTTTGCATGGGCCGGAGGCCTTAAAGCGAATAAAGTATTTGTATTGTATTGTATTGAATATTTTAATTGATGTTTTAATTATTTATTTCAGTTGTCTGCAATATTTAATGACGAAACTGGAGTTGAGTATGTGAAAAAAGAAGGGCTTCATAGAAATCATTCAAAAATGTTTTTACTGAGGGAAATTTTTGGACACGGTATGATTCATTTTTTTCTTGCTTCTCAGTTGAATTATACAGTTGTTTAAAGGTCAGTGATTAAAATTCTTCATGAGGCAGCCCTGGCAAACAGACCTATATCTAATTGCTAGATATTGTAATTTCCAAAATAAATTTAACAACTTATATTTATTATGAACTGTTGTTGAGACTTATTTCCCAATTTACCTGACTAAACAATTTCACAACTTAAGAAAGAATGGACCTTTCCATTGTTCACAATTGTATGCAGATTGGCGGATAAACTATCCACTTGCTACGCTGGGTTGATACATAGTCATTGGTTGATCTGGTTTACATAAAACAACACATGGTTATATTTGTGATATTCTTTTTAGCAACTGACCTAGCAGTGAAAAGTTAAGGTCACTGCTAAAAACTGGAAATGGCCATGTTGGCAGAGGGTAAAAAAGACACTGAAAATACAAAATACAGTCACTTAATCTACCAGGGGTTTAAGGCTATTTATAGCAAAACTTGTAGCTAACTACTTGTTTTATGTTTACACATTTAAAAATGAACTGTGAAAACAATTCTGATTTTAGTGGCATCACTTCTTCTTTGTTTCTCGGAAGTTCATATAAAATATAGGACAAAAATAATATCATACCTGAAATAATGTCAAGTATGTATAGACGCCTAAGACAGGCTAAATAACTAAAATCAAGTGGCTATAGGAACAATAATTTACTTTAAATCTTCTTTGGTGCTATTCATTTTGTTTTGTTTAATTTTTGCATGAAGATTCATCAATGACATGTCTAAATAAAGAATTCACAAATAAGTAAAACCTATCTAAATATTGTTTTCCCATACTACTAGTATCTATACATTCCAGAGGTTAGCTCTAGGTAAATTCTCCTGAATGGCTTGTAATAGTGATAATTATGATATAAAACAATTATTTTTTCTTTAAAATAAAGATTTAATGATTCTGCACAAACATTTTTTAATGCACAAGTTTACACAGAAAATATCTCTATTTATTTTAGCAGGTGCCACTATGACTGTTTTAAGTCTACAGATTTTCACTATAAACTATTTAATTTTTGTAAAATTTGAGATAGATAGTAAAGAACATTGATTATTTTCTCACACATCAAGTCTTTCCACATGAAATGTTTAAATAATAGTTAATGAAAATAGAAATATCACATAATAACATAGTTTACTATATTAGGTGTAATTCATAGAGCTAAATATGTAACATGTCGGAAAAACTGTGTTAAGGTAGGTTTACGAAAAGGTCAAGATAAGAATGGAAGCCACTAAGGTAACTATTATGCTTGTCCTTCCCCCTAACTGTGAAGCTCAAAAGTGGTAATTTAACCTTAAATGAAATATCAAGATAACTAATATATACACTATTATGTTAACAATAATATGAAACATGTTTTTCAGGTCACCCTGGCTGGTGGTTGTGTCCTCTTATTGACTCTTCAACAACAGATAAAAAGACTATGGGTACAGCCCATACTGTGTAGACCAGAGTCGCAGGTGCGAATCTCTGTGCACACGGTTAATAATGTGATATCTTACTCAAGCTATGTCTGAAGCTTTTGTGCTCATGTGTGATGTCATGTGTCTAGTATATGTAAGAGTTTTTCGTTCTGCCTCCCCCTGTTGGACTATTCCATAATGTAGACATATAAGATTGTCCATTGAATACATGTGGATGGAGTATAAAAATTGGTGTTTTGAGTGTAAGAACCGTAAGTTTATATTGTTATTATTATTTTAAAGTGTGAACCTCAATTACATTTTATGCTTTGTTTAATGTCAGGTGGTAATTTCATGATGTATACGATGCATGTATGACTGGCAGCCATGTTGGAATTTATGTTTCTTTTTATCATTGTTTTTGTGTACCAGTCAGTTGTAAGCGCCCCGCCACCACACCTGGGGAAATGTGGGGGGAGTGGGCGCTAAGTTAATAACTTTTGACTGTCCCTTGACTGCAGGGTTTGGGTCAATGCAGTTGTTTTGCCAAAATAGCAAGGGCAGTGTTGTGGATATTACTGGTGATTTTGCCATTTGATTCTTTTCACAATACATGACCTTTGCCAGAGGTTTGAAAGTCAAAAGTTAAAGGTCATTCTATACCCTGGGTGTGCAGTAGAAAGGCTGAGGCTACATTTGACAAGTGTATTATTTATTGTATTGAAAAGTTCAAAATTTACTATTGAACAGTTAAAATTTTCTTTTATATGTTTGTTTGACTGATATTTTAAAGACTATAGTTTTATTAGAATGCTTTTATTTTATGTCAGTATTTATTTCATTATGTTATTCAGAAAAGAATTAAATTCTTTTTGAAATCATGCGTAGTAAATGGCAGCATGCCCTTTAATATTTAGGTATTTTTAAGTCTGTGACATCTTTTATTTGTACTGATAAACATCATCTATTTCTTTTATTCAAATTTTATTATTTAAAGTATAATATATTTAAAGTGTAATATATAATGTAAATAACTAAAATCAGTTTTTTTTATACAATCATGGTGTTTATAAATTTTTAATGTCAAGAAATTAATAATTATTTTCTTTTTTTATGAAAAGAAACAGTTATAAATAGGAAAGAAATTTGCACAGAAAGAGAATGTCAAAACTATAAGGCTTTTTCAAATCTGATTGTTAAATGAACACAACAAAACCATTTTCATTACCTTTAGAAATCTCATGTATGTATCACAAGAAGTAAGGGACAACAAATTTGCTGTTATTATTGTAGTTTTAAATGTTTTAGATCTGTTTCATTTACATAATCAAGGTAATTTCATTGAGCCCAAGGCCTACGATAGATAAAATGTTTTTAGAATAAATATTCAAAGAAAAGGGAGAGCTTTTATACTCACCAAGGCATCGTTGTTACACTTTGGTGCAAATTTGTATCTTCAAATCTACTGAAGAGAATGAACTCGCACATTTATTTGAGAGCATGAATAGGAGGTCACTGTTTAAGGCCCATAACTCTTACATAGATTTTGACAAAATTATGGCTCTTTTTTAACTTAGAAAATTCTACATTATCCAGGCTCTTGCTTTACTATCAAACACTAAAAATAGCTGAGCACACTGTCCTACCCCAGCCCTTGTTGTTCTTTTCGTATTGTACCTCCTTGTAGGGAAGAATTTATAGCTCATAAATTACCACATAAATCATTGTCAAGTTTCTTGCTTTTAGCCGATATTGGACCCTTAATTTTATGTATAGGCATCAATTTTATTTGACTGAAAGCATAACATAATAGTGAATTGATTCATAGTTAGGAAACACTTGAAGAAATGGAGGGGTAGGTTGCCATTATTTTGTATTTGTTTTAGTTGTAATTTTGTTTTTGTATTTTTAGATCACTATTTATTGCAATTTTATCAGATTAGTATAAAAATATATATCTACTGTAGTTATACCATAAATATTATTTTCATTTTGTATTTAGAGTTATTTATTATGTAGAAATAACATACATATAAGTTATTATATAATTGAAATAAGTTGTAAATAACTTCTTAAATTAAATTCACAATTATGTGGTAACATAATTATGTGAGAAAATTATCTGACTTGTTTACAGTTCATTTCAGAATATTTAGTCCTCGGGAACTAGCCATTGGGCGGCTACTCAGCAAGCCTTGTTACTGTCCAATGGGCAGGTCCCCTCAGGACGGATATTCCGGTCCGAACTGCAACATATGACAGATATTATAAATTCTGTTGAAGTATTAATTATTTTATTGAAATAATAAAAGTTATTACATTTACGTTATTTTAAGTTTTAACATTGAAATGGTACATTTGTATATTTAGTGTTATTTAACATTGAAAAAAAAAATGTAACAAAATCTTAAGAAAACAATGTTGAACATTCTTAATTGATGTAATGTTTTTCATAATTTAATGTCATGCTAAGAAATGTATGTTAATTTTCTCTTACATTCCTGAATTTGACCAAATGGCAATACATGTATTTCATCTTAAGTGTGCTCTAAATCGTTTAAGACAGTGTACACATGCAGTTGTAATAGATGCACCTTCTTACTATTTATAGTTCTGTTATGTTTATTAAAGTGTTTGTATCATTCTATTTTAATTGACCGCTTGCAGATACAAGGACTTGCCTAATATGTCACCCGTGTGAAACCAGGCCAGCCTTCATCTCTGTGCAGTTTGAGCGAGTATTTTTCCCTTTGGCTACTAGATGTTACTGTTTTTGGTACTACACCCTCATGAATTATCTACAATTAACGCTTGATCACACTAATTATCTTAAATGGACCTTTCAATCTTTCACCTGGGGCAAAACCATTCTTAGAGAAAAATTTCTAAAATATGTACTGACTGATTAGCAAACAGTGCAGACCATGATAAGATTTCACAGAGATGCCGGCTGATCTTGGTTTTCCCTGGCCACATGTATATTATCAGTTGCTTCCAGCAGTCTAAAGGTTAAATAACATGTACAGTGCAAGTGCATTATACAACTCTGTCATTTGTTTGTGTTAACAACAATTAGCTTTGAATTGTCACAATTATACATTACTGTGAATAATTTATACAAATTGTAACTTTTTCTATTGAAATGAAAATTTTTTTCTTGAAAAGAAACCCATATACATGTACATGCATTGTAAAAGAAATATTTTTTCCATGGAAAGAAACCTACATAATTATTATCCTTAATATAGTATTGCCAGAGAAAGGTCATCTAAGTGCAGTTACAGGTGAACTACTGACATATTTTAATAGGTGTTAACCTTTCACTGCACTAAGGGGACAATATGTTTAATCTCTGCTTAAAAGACAATGATATCTTTTCATTTAATTCCCGATCATTGTAGTGATTTTTGTGTCGCCTTTACGGAGTAGTGGCGACATATAGGGATCACTTCTCCGTCGTCTGTCTGTCCGTCTGTCTGTCTGTCTGTCCATCTGTCTGTCTGTCACAAAACGAGTTTAGATATTAAGCATGAAACATATTCTAGCTAGTGTCTACAAATATTGTTCAAATAAAAGCCCTGGGGTCAAAACTGGCCCTGCCCCAGGGGTGTCATTGGTTTTAAATATATGTATAAAGAAAAAACTTAAAAAATCTTCTTTTAAAAAACCAAACGAGCTAGACCTTAGATGTTTAGCATGAAACATCTTCTAATAAGTGTCTACCAAGTTTGTTAAAAAAAAAAAGCCCTGGGGTTAAAACTGGCCCCGCTCCAGGGGGCCAATATACAGGTGAGCGACTTCAGGGCCATCATGGCCCTCTTGTTAAATACCTGTGCCATTTAGCAACTCAGTAAGAACAATATTGCATGGCCATGTACTGGTATATAATTTGATGTGACATCATTTACATGATACAAACAAAACGTAAAGTGACAATTAATGTAATAGTCATAGTATATGAAACAAGTTAGTTATGAGGATATAAAATGGCTGGCGCATCATCAAGGGATGTTTCAAATGAAAAAAAAATATTGAAGCTTTCAGGTCAAGATGATTTTTTTCGCAGATATTTCCCAAGATGTCGCCCAGCAAGTGTTATACCCGGGTAACTAAGAAAAAATTCCAAACTATGTGATAAATTAACATTACAGTATAAACATTTAGATGGTAGCATTATAGTATAAACATATCAATGATAAAATTTCCTTTTAGACTGTAAACAGTTCTTATCTTATTTTAGGTATGTGATAAGTAGAATATTGTTTATGTGTAGCTATTTAAGCAAATTTATTGAACTCATTGCATATACAATGTATTCGAAATTGAACCTACTCTCATTCAACATCATCTATTTTATGTATTGATTTGAAGTAATGCTTTATGTAGTTATGTAGAAAATATTTTTAGTATACTTTTGCGTTACATGGTTTGTGTATAAGTGACTGTAATTTATATTGTAATATTTCTGGATTATAGAATGTTCATTTATCATATCGTATTGTATCAGTTTGTTTAATTATGGACCAATTATTATGATACATTATTGTGGTGTACATGTTGTTATGTTTACAGATTACCTTTTAAAGGGCAAGCGTGTATCCTAATAAAAAGAACCTACTTAATTTTTCATTTTTTTTAATATAACAAGTTCCATGAAGAAATCTTGTAACAGTTTTGAAGAAATTTTCATTAAATAATCGAGAATGTTAACCAGTAGAGAATAAACAACTTTAACCAGCTCTGGTGTTGACATATTGTATTATTAAATTTTTGTCTTATTTTGAAATGTTGTTCAAGTAAATCTGTATTCACAAAGTTTTGCTTGGGGAATTGATCATATCTGATTAGGAAAAAATGTGAGATTTCAGAGGTTTGCTTTCGCTCTGTTTTGCTTTTGTTAATTTAGAGATGATTTCTCAATGGAATTATAATTAACATTTTTAAAGTAGAAACCAGTAAACAAAGTCATGTAAAATCTTACTTGGTTTTCAGTGTGATTGAGGGAGCTGCAATAGATCTTATGTTGTTAATTAGCTATAGATAATTTATACTGGTAGTAAATATTTCATTTATAGGAAATAAAAAAAGAGAGTACACTTTGGATATGGGGAAAACTCCCAACTCCTTCCTCAATTGACTACCTTTGCTTTTAAATGCTACATACATGTAAATGTATAAAAAGTACTTGGGTTGGGATTGATAAAAATAGTGGTTACCTGGTTTTTAGCTTGACTATTCAAAGAATAGGGAGAGCTATTATACTTATCCTGGCAGGAACGCCACACTTTTGTTAAGTTTTTGCGAACAAGTTGGAATCATGAAAACCACTGAAGGGATTGGGTTGAAACTTCACTTACTTACATAGGAGGTATTTGTATAAGCCCTTAACTCTAACATGGATTTTTGATAAAATTATGGTTCCTTTTAGAATGCTGTCCTACTGACAGCTCTTATAAAGGTATGTAGTCAGTTGGGGTTTGGGAAGGGGTATAAACCACACCCAAAGTGTCTGTGGGTATTAGGTATTGCTTAAAGAATGAACTTATTAAGCATATTACAGATTTTCATTATATTTAAATAAAATGCGAAGATTATTTTTGTATTTCTGTTTAAAATTGTAAAATGTGATGCTAGATATATGATGATAAGAAATATTTATTTTGGCTATTTTGACAGATGTTATTATAGTAAAATTGATGGTAATTGGTGCTGAAAAAAGGCAAAAACACATTGAAAAAGTGTACGTCATTGTGAAATTTGTTCTATTACCGAGCAGTTTATAACCAAAGTTAAACTGATATATGGTGGGAAAATAATGAAGGTTTTATAGGACTAGATATTGTATTAGATGTAGTATTTCCAGTTTGGCATTATTAAACTTATTTTTTTTTGTATGCATTTTTCTAGGTAAAGTAATTGGACACTTTCAATATCCCCTTTATGTTAAGATAAATATTTGTCTTTTTGAACAGTTTTCTGGTATCTCTTGAAAACCTATAAAGGCAGATTCCTTTCAAGGCATTTCATGCGGGTTTACCACTGCTGTATAAATGTATGAGTGCTACAGCTTAATCTCTTTATGCTCGTCCATTATGGTCTCTTTCCGGTGGCGAGGGTAAACAAACGCAAACACACACAGGCATTTCAGGTGATTAGTTTTGACTTATTTTATCTCTTAAATTTTATATAAAGGGACATTTATGAACATGGACCTGGGGTTGTGCAAACAGTGGCACTAAATGAGAATCGAAAATAATTGAGGCTCACTCAGATCTTAACCCCTACCTGAACGGAAACAAGTGTTTAGCCTATGACACTAGTATAGACCTAGGCTTGCCTACACATCAGATTCTGTGCAGTCTGACCAGGCTCTATACTAATGGCAAACAATGGAATTTGGTCAAGGCCATTTAAGAAATTCAAGGGAGAATTCCAACCTTGTATGTTATGGTAAAGGAGTTACATAAAATTGTTTAATAATGACAATTTTGACCTATGCCTTGCCAAAACATTGAATATGGTATATAAATGAAGATTATTTTTGAATAAATTCAGTCATAACCTTCCCTATACTAATCCACTACCCCATGGTACAAGTCTCAGGTCAGAAACTATCTTTTAGAAACAAGCATAATTTCTAATATTTTATTTTATCAAATATTGTTTTGGAGCAAAATAGTTTTTATTATGGAATGCCTATGAACAAAGAGGTATTGTCTCTGTGACAGATTTTACATACAGGTTCATTTTCTTTACCATGATGGTAAAGCCATGTAACACCTAGACTTGGTTCTAAAGTGATGTGGGTTTAATACTCTGTTTTATAAATGTACGAGTGCTATAGCTCAATCTCTTTTAATTTAATTTTAAATGCATCAATATTTTCTTTTAAGTGGATCTTACTTAATCTGTTTACCAGCCTGTTTTAAGTGTTTTATATTTTTACATGAAATAAAAAATGTTAAAATCTGATGATTGTTTCTACTGTTGTTATTTCTTTCTTAAAGTAGCATGCCTCCAGATTACTGCTAATTTTCATGAAAATTTTGAAAATGTATTTTAAGCAGCATGCCCCAGATTCGTGACAATTTTCACGAAAATTTAGAAAATGTATTAAAAAACAAAATATTGTGAAGTGAACAAATAAAGTAATTTACACATTGCAAATGGCATTGACAATCCATGTTAATAACCAAAATGAGGTCAAAATATGCAAAATAGCCCTTTATGAGTTAGGCAAGCAGTAGAAATATTGTAGTAAATACTGCAAAAACAGTCATAAATGGCATAAAAATTTTAATAATAATAAACTGTTTGAATGGCATATAACTTGAATCTTCTGTCTCTTTTCTTTAAATTTTAGTTGTTTTTTTTTCTGAAGTTTGATTTTCATGAAATATTTTGGCTAATCTGATGGCATGCAGCTTTAATACTCAACCTGTTTGGTCGATAGCGGTGTTGTCATTTCATGACTTTGTTTCTATATATGAAGTATGTCTGTTTCAAAATGAAGAAATGGGAACAACAAACTGTAGTAAAGAAGTCATGCTAGAATATAGGAATGACCATGTTATGTACACCATAGGTCTATTTGTATTGTTACAAGCATTAAATGGTTAAGTAGATAAGGAATTCAATAGGTAATGTTTGATTTATTGTTTAAAACTAAAGTGAATATAGTTGTGGTTTAATTCAAGTTACAGTCCCTTTCATTTAAGACAGGATTCAAGTTGTTGTCGCACTTTGATGACGTCATTGGGGGATGCAGCGGGCACTTTCATTTTAGCGATAAGCGTTGAGGAAGAGTTACTTCCTTACCCGATGTGACATAAATGGGCTATTTTTCTATACAGTCTTTGCGATACTTTAATGAAGCAAATTTATAAAATCTAAAATTGTCATATTTGAATAAGAGGGAATGCACAAACTATGTTTTGGAAGCTGCAATCCCTATTAGTATTACTGATCCAGTAAGACGTATTTCAGACAAGACTAGACATTTCAGACAGGATAAAGTTTTCAGTGCATTTTTTGTCTCAAAAGTCATTGAAGGCTTTCATTTACATTGTAGCACTACATATTTTTAATTTCATGATTATTTATGCAATATGACCTGAATACATGATGTTGTTTATTAATAACAGAACCTTGCAATTAGATAATGAATACCTTAACACATTATTGGTCAGAGTTACAGAGCAATGTGAATCAAACTTTAGTAAATTCAGTCACAGGCACCACCTTGGGTGCAAAATGTCACAGGGTGAGAAAAATGTGCAGCCTAACGGAGCCTTGAACACAGAATCCATTTTTGCACCGTGACATCTTAATGGTTCACTGTTGATAACTAACTAGTTTCTCCGTATGTGATAAATATAAATAAATTGGAAACAACATGTTTATCATCATAAATTTTATTTAGGTATATCAATATCTAACAATCTATATAATAAAAGGTATAAACAGCAATGACACTGTCAAAAGGTAATAAAGCAATGAGTATTATGGAATCTACATGTCAAGGACGGATCCAGTCTTAGACAGGAAATTTAAATAATGTTGAGATATATAAATAGTAACAACATAGGACGGATTTAGCCTAAGATGGTTTTTAAAAGTGCTTAATTTATACAAAAAAGCTACAATACAGGGGAATTTTAGGCAAAGGCAAAAAGTATTGGGTAATTCCTGAAGTAAACAAGAAAAAAAGGTAAACAAGAAAAAACAAATTGGACGGATAAGCTTAAGACGGTTTTAAAATATCCGAATCCTGCTTTTATCTACAATACAGGGTAAATCTAGCTTGGGAGCAATTTTTTTTATAAAGCTATTAAACAACACTACACAAAAAGAATTAAGAAATTGTGCAAAGAAGATTTTTATATCTATATATCAATAGTAACTTGCTTGTTGAAATTTTAGAACTGATTCAGAATTGTTGTGTAAAAATGTCAACCAATTCATAATTTTCAATGTGAGAACAGTTTGAAGACAGCAAAAGAAACCCATAGAATTCCTAGTTGTTTTCATGAAATGTTACTGATCTTCTTTCAAATTCACATTTATAAATATTTACAGTATATCATGTATATTGAATAAAAATATTGCTCATATAGGAAATAGATATATCTTAATAATTTTCATGAGCAATAAATATATCACAGATATGAATCCAAGTACAATGGACTATAAAATAAGTCATTCATATATTATAATTATATAAAATTAGTCAATCATGTAAATTAAAATGTAAAATTAGTTGTTAGAAGTAAAAAATCTTTAAACTGAACTCCTAATCATTTTTTCTGTTTTCAAAACTAAAGAAGAAAATAAATATTCCAAACACAAATAGTTTGCAAACAGGGCAAAGTAAAAACTTCACAGCATAAACTGATATTCAATTGTGTGATAAGTTAAAACCGCAAACATGTGCAAAGTGCATGGGTAAAATAATTTAGACTGCAAATATAAAGCAAATCAGGAAAATAAGTCTAGTCTGCAACAGTAAATAAGGAAAACATTTCCAGATTTCAAGGTCAAATACGGAAAATAAGGAGAATATTTCTAAATTGCAATGGTGAAAAAGGGACATAAATTTTGCTTTTTATTTATGAAATATTGGGTACATGGTTATATGAACTCCTGGTAAGATAAAAGGAAAACTATATGCCAGAATTACATACATATTAAAACTATTTTCTAAATATTCTTCATATTAAGTTCTTTTCATCATTAAATAAATTGAAAATAGAAGCTCCTTGTCACCGAGACACAATAATAAATCAGTCACAAAAATTGAATTTTAAGTAAAGACCATTTCCAAAAACATTCTTGAACACTGAAAATTAATTATAGACTTTATAAAATGTCCAATAAAATATGATGTAAAAATGAACAACGAGTTTTTGCAATTATTAAAGGAAAAAAAAACCTTAAATTATGGCAAGGTTTAGATTAAATGGTTACTTTAAATTTGATTGGTCAATATCTTTGGTCAGATCTTTACATCTAATTTGGACAAACTTAAAGAGTGAACACAAAGTAAAATTATTTCAATCTTTAAAACATAAACAGTAAGCATAACACACTTTTTTGTCTTTCCTTTGCCTAAACTCATGTTTTCTTTGTCAGTTGAAAAATTCTAGTTTTCCTTTTCAGTTAAAAAAAGAAAGCCATGATGGCCCTGAGATTGCTCACCTGTATATAGGCCCAGTTTAAACCCCAGGGCTTTTATTTGACAAACTTGGAAGACACCCATTAGAAGATGTTTCATGATGTTAAGTTTTTATTACACACATAAAATGAAAAACAATGATCTCCACCCCCCCCCCCCCTTTGGCAGGGCCAATTTTAACCCAAGGGCTTTTATTTGAACAAACTTGGTAGACACCAACAAAAAGATGTTTCCTGCCTAAAATCTAACCTCTAGCTAATTGGGTTTTTTAAAAGAAGTTTTTTTTTAAGTTTTTACTTTACACATATAGTTAAAAACAATGACACCTTTGGGGTGTAGCCAGTTTTAATCCCAGGGCTTTGATTTGAGCAAACTTTGTAAACACTTACAAGAAGATGTTTCATGCTAAATATCTAAACTCTAGCTATTTGGATTTTTTCACAGAAGATTTTTAAGTTTGTGCCATACATATATAAGGAAAATCAATGACCCCCGGGGCGGGCCAATTTTGACCCCAGGGCTTTTATTTGAACAAACTTTGTAGACACTGTCTAGAAGATGTTTCATGCTTAATATCTAAACTCTACCTCTATGGGTTTTTTAAAAGAAGATATTTAAAGTTTTTTCTTTCGGTTGCCATGGCAACCAGAGTTCTGCATGGAATTAAATTCTTTGAACAATTTTTAAAAGTGACCACCAAAGGAACATTCCTGTGAAGTTTGGATGAAATTGGCTTAGTGGTTTATGAGGAGATGTCATTTAAAGTAAAAGTTTACGGACGGACGGGCAGACGACGGACAGACGGATGAAAAGTGATCACAAAAGCTCACCCTGTCACTTTGTGACAGGTGAGCTAAAAAGCTCTTGTTTACTTTCTTTTATTTTAGTGTGAAAAATATAAAACAGTACTTGAAAGTGTTTTATCAAAAAAGATAAGCAACAATACGCAGTCTTGTCAAACAGCACAATAGTGCCAAAAACATCAATCACTATACTGATAGCATAGTGGGGACATATCTAATGCCACTGAAGAAGCGAGCTTATGACTACATGGCAACAAAAACTCCAACACATCCTCTCACATATAATTAAGAAATTAATACTACTATAAATGTATTTGTTTAAATGTTTTCAAAAATATTCATAAACTGTTATATCCCTATAAGAGTTAACCTGTATAATATAGAGTATGTACTAAATATTCGGAAAATTTTCTGTTGTCATCTACAACTTTAAATTCAATGCTCAAAACTCTACATTTCTTTACAGTAAGTCAGTAAGTGCTAAATACACACAAAGTTAAAACATCAAAATGAAGCAAAAACAAACAAAAAAAAACCCTAACAAAACAAAATACTATATCACAATATGGCAAGCATAAGCACATCACATACTTACTGTTTTTAATAAAATTTCATTATCTTGTAGACTTAGCCAGCTACTTTTTATACATTAGACTTTATAGAACAGAAAAACAAGTTATAATGACAATCTTTAACATTGAATATGTGTTATTTTGTAAGAAAACAATCGCTAACAAAAACTATTGATTTAAACACTGATGCATCTGAGAGTACAGACAGAGAAAAGCTACAACAAGAAAACAAATAATTACATAATATTTCTAATTAAAAAAACAACAACTTATGTCTATAACTAAACTAGGATGATAACACATATATCTCGAACTGTATTTTGAATGTTGTGTATTGTAAGCATAATTTTCTACATATATGAGTTGCACATTAATTACAGAAAATGTGATAACATTTTGGCAAAATGGATTAACATATGGAAAGCTTCCTAAGTTATAAAACAAATTGACAAAGGTTTAAGAAAAACAAGGCCAACACATAACACAGCAATTTCAAGAGGTACACTTTTCTTAAAAGGTGCTTGCTACCAGCTGAGAAAAACAATGTCAAAAAAGTAGAAAAAACCCAAAAAACAAATACATTAAGGGTATAGGAAATGTATTCTTAGTCCATGTAACATATTACCATCATGGTATTTGCAAAATATGAAATATATTCATTGTTTTAACCATCATATCTGTAACCTATAACTAATGGAATAAGGGCTATTTTTGCATATGTTGACATGTTTACTGTAACTGACATGGTTTGTCAGTGCCTTGCCCTGCTTAGATTTAGCACATTTTTTCATTTAACAATATCTGTAAGTGTTGTGCTTTAAAGTGTGGAACAAATTTACAAGTTAACACAATAAATAACAGAAGAGATATAACAAACATTTTGGAGATTTTAAACAACAATGGATATAGAACCTGAATGACCAGAAGATTTTATCACATGACCACAAATTTGAAGCTTTTGATAGGTAAAACATTTCACATGGTAAATGGGACTTAACAAAAGATAACAATATTTTGAAAACGGAAAGTAATAGCCAAACTTGAAACATAAGACTGATGTTTACACAAAGAACATACAAGTATAAACAAAGGGAGGGAACAATGAAAGAACTTTGGAAATACAAGAAAAATATACAAATCAATGCATAAATGACATAATAAACATTAAGAGCAGTGATGTAAAGATGTAAAATAATGGAAGCCAAACAAGAAACAAAAGATAATATCTTGTTGAAAAGACAGGACGAACTAAAATGAGACTACATCACAGCAATTAAAGAATGAGCCAAATAATAGAGCAAAATCAAAGTGAAACTAGCTGGCTTAGAAATACTCTTTTCTTATCTGGCAATTTATATCCAACCTTATATCTTTTTGAGAACAAAAATGAAAGCATTAATATATCGTCAAAATAAACACAAAACTTTGTGAAATGAATTTTTGTTGAGAAAACAGAATTATTTTGTCATTTAGGATCTGAATCCAAAAGATTTATGAAATTGTGTTCCTACAAACATGTTCTGTAAACACCAGATTTTTATATATCATTAAAAATATATAATCATACAAGAGCATACCACATCAAATCATAATTGCTAAGCATCAATAGAAGGAAACAAATAAACAAAATAAATTAATTAACAAAACACATCTAATTTCTATGTAAAATTAAACATTTAACAGCCATTTTGCTTTTAATATTAACAATAAAATAGGTTTTTCAAATGAAGAAAAATATTGCTGTAGTTAAACTAGACAGAGAATATACATAAATCTATAAATAAATAAATTAATTCAATCATTAAATCAATCATTACATAATAATCACAACAAATAAAATCCACAAAACAAACAAATAAAACAAACAGCTGACTCATCTAAACTGAAATATGCCCTAAAAGTTTCTAAAACAAACAAAAAATGACATTCAGTCTCCATTGCCACGTTTAACATCAAATTATTCAGAAATTAATAAATACGGACACAGAACTAAACCATTATAATAATGTTGGTTTAACATGATAGGAAGTTTTTTAGATAATGTTATAATGCATAACCAAAAATCAAGTACAATATTCAATAATGCTTCCTCAATGCTTTTCCAGTATAAGAAAAAATAAATGTGGTATTATAATTAATTCCTTGTTAGCAAAAATGAACACTTCATCTTACCAGTAAATATTACCAAATAACTAATGGAAAAGAATCATAATTCATCCACAGTATTTCTACTTTAATAGGGCAAACATAAATACAGTAAAGTGTTTCTAAATAATGAGGAAAAATAATGTTCTAAATACAAGAACAATGGGAAGTAGCATCTTATAAGAATTTTAGGATGCTGGAAAATCAATGAAATATCTTTAGTTTTCCAAATCAGCAGGAAAGACTTAGGATGGATAATCAATCATACATCTTAAGTTTTCCAAATCAGAAATAAAAAATAGGAATACTGTATGTTAATTATTTCTGTATTAAGTAAATAATATTATTGTATGAATACTGTCATTATTTGTAGTTCTATTTTAAGCAAAAATATAACTATATCTTGATCATATTCAAATAAGTAAAGTTCTATACTGTATCTTAAAACAAGTTTCAAATTATATAAAACACAATACTAATACTTTAGTACCTTAAAAATTCAAAAATGCACCAATAATTGAGTGCAACTATAGCTTCAGCATTCACATATATAAATGTACAGGTACAATCATTAAAATACATATGATATATTACATGTATGAATACATACATCACATTTATAGGCATGTGTAAAAAATAAAGTCTATATTAAAGGCATATTAGGACAGGTAAAATAATCTATATCTTTAAAAACCTGAGGTATTTATCACAAGAGATCTACAACATACTGCAAATATCCAATACTGTATAACTTAGCATGATTGTCATTTGCATGTAAGATTTTATTTTCTTGTATCAAAAAATTTACAGCAAGAAAACAGTGGCCATTTATCTAAATTAATGAAATTAAGTTACCACCAATAAAAGAAAGACAGTTTTCCAAATGCCAAAAACTATGTGTTTTTTCCCCCTCTCCAATTGAAAAAGTAAAGATTTCCAGATTGTTGCACTTTTTATACAGTGCTGTTTACATTTTAAGAAAAATAAGTCAGAGACAAACAATAATTTTTGAATGCTAGATTTTGCCTTTTACAAAATGTATACGAGGAATGTTCATGTTTATTTTGGTTTCTTTTTTTTGGTTGTGTTATACTTCACACAGTAGAACAGTAGAGTTCATATGTCGACTTACAAGCTTTACCGGTGGAGTGGTGGAGGAAGACCTCAGATGCTTCTTTGTTCATTATTTCAGGCACAAGCAGGCAATGGAGTAAAACCACAAACATTCCATAAGCTAGCTTGATAGCTTCCTCAAATGAAAGAATCCAAAGTCCCTGATACCATTCGAGCCAACAGCGGTGAGCGGAAAGTAGTTTGAAGTCAATAACTTCAATCACACCGCCACAGGCGCTCGATTTGTAAATAATAGTTATTCATCACTATATTTGTAGCTTCTGCTTTACTTTTCATAAGAGAGATGATTTGCTTAACATTAATCCCAATCTGTGCTGGTGATAGATTTTGGCCCAAAAAGATGAAAATAAAATCCTTAAAATATCATAAGTATTGCATACAATATGAAATCAGTCTAAACCCTTGAATTAAACATACTAGATTAAACAGTATTAGCCATGTTTCACACTGGAGCACTATGTTATACATAAGTGACCTCCCCTTTTACCCTTCATACAAACAAAAATATAAATATTGTGCCATGGTAAACTGGAATAGGTTGTGCATCAAAATTAATAAAATATTCACAGACTCAGTCTCAATCGGTGCATGGTTATGTGAATGGAATAAATAAATCTGATGGATCAATGGTTTATTTATGGAGAAATGCTTCTTTTCATGGAAATTACCACAAACCCTTTTATACACTTTTTTGTAATGGTCACACAAATAAGATTTTATGTTGTTACCAAATTACTGAACTTCCAAATATCTTATATTCACAGTTTTATCAATGGCAGGTTTAAAATCCTGAGCGAGCTCTGCTGAGTTAAAATTCTTTCCAAACAATTCTTCAACTACATGATATTCTTCTTAGAAATTTCATGGTCAAGCAAAAATGTATGTATCAATTATAGTCAATGATTTTGTATCATCATACATTTTATAATACAGATAAAAATTCACCAATAATCCACAACTATTTTTGGCAATTTATCCTAGTGCAGTTATTGTGAAGAGCAAAATCCTACTATAAAGTCTCATTCAATGCTTGAAAATTTTCATTTTTCAAATCCCAACAAATAATGGCAACTACTTCTATTATCTTAAAAATCCGATCTGCTTTCATTTTATATGGTATTTTGGAGAAAAAAAAAACTTGTTTTACTTCTTGGCAGCAATCAGATCCTTTTCTACATATTACAATTCAACACATTATAATTCATAAATAACATGATCTTGCCTTCAAATAGCACTTCAAAACTGGAAAAATATACAGTGAACACAGAAACAATGTCATTTAGCCACCACCAGTAAAACTGAAACTTTATTCAGATTTCTAATGCTAATGTTCATTAAATGGACAATTTATATATACTCCAGTGAAACATCTACATTCCCTATCAAGGTCCTTTTTGTATAAACATGTATGATAAGAATCTTACGAACTAAGATCCCGCCTTCTGTTTATACATGTACAATAACATAAGGAGCTTACAAATTAAGATCCAACCTTTTGTTTAAACACGTACAATAACATTAGAACCATATAAACTAAGATCCTGATTTTCTTACTCCACAGTTACATAGCACTTGTCCACGGATACCGTATTTTCTTTTGCAGGATTGGCACGTGCTTCCTCTAGTACGAGGTTCTGTGGATATCCTTGACCCTGTTAGTCCAAACCCATACTGATCATCTAGCCTACTGCTGTATGATCCTTCCCTAGAAATAAAGCAGGCAAAATTAGCACACAGAAATGTAGTATTCAATGAGTTCAGGTTCAATATTGAATTAATTAAACAAGTTAATTCAATCAATTTACTCAACAAGTTAAATAAATTTAGTAACGAAGCTACATGAACATAGTATTCTATTTATCACAAAAGAAGAAATGTACGGTAAAAAAAAATCTTTTTCGTTTATCCCCTTTAAGTGTATCGCTAACATTCGGCCGTTTATGTTATGTTTGTAAATTGCAATTCAGGTCAAGTTAAAATATATGCATGGTCAGTAGCAAAAGCAGTACAAGTATATGATAACTGAAATAAATGTCACATACCCAATTAAATAAACTGGAGAAATCTGAAAACTAAGCAAGATGAGGGTCATGAAACATGAAATCATTCAAAGATTAACTTACTCATCCGCCAATGGAGATTTAAACCTGCCAGTAGCTGTTGTTCTATTTGTCGCTCGGCCTCTGCCAGTATTCACAGTGGTAGAGCTGCTTACACCTGGTCCAGGGGATGTCTTGTCTGTCAAGATGCAAACATTAATCACATTGCATGTTATAGTGTGTTACATTAAAGCATTAAAGAAACCATTCTTATGTCTTACTATTTAAAAAGTAGAAACAATATGTAGGAATTGAACCAAGAACTGCCAGTAGAAAAAAAGGAAAATTGAGCTCTTCTTCAAACAAATTAGAAAGAAGGGGTTTTTCAAAATTTAGGGGAAAACCTTGATTTTTTACTATCAATCTACATAATATATAGGAAGCATTATGAAACCATATAAGCTTATGTAACAAGCTTTATATTACATGATTTATCCTTTGTTGTTGTTTTTTTGGTTGGGTTTTATGTTACACCAACACAGTATATAGGTCATATGGCTATGTTCCGGCTTTTCTGGTCGAGGAAGACCTCAGGTGGCCGTCCATGCATTACTTCAGGCACAATCTGGAACCTGAGACAGAGTAAAACCATCTATATTGCGTGAGCTAGCAGGATAGATTCCTTACATGAAAGAATCCAAAGTCTCTGTCCTAATTTGAACCCACATCAGTACAGGCAAGTAGTTTGAAAACAACGACCTTAACCACTCAGCCACGGATGCCCCATACATGGTTTAACTATATAATTATTTTTTTCTATTTTACAAACATACCTCTTGAACTAAATGAAGCATTGAGACCTGTGCTTGATGAAGGACCTGGTTTATCTACAAAGTAGAAAACATCTCAAATTAAAAATACTGACTTTTCTTAATTATACAGAATTCTTAATTAATTTTTGTTTCTCTCTTTGAGGACACTTACTTAAAAGTGAACATTTACAATTGTTTCCCTATGTGTGAACACAACCAATATTTCTCTTTATATGAACAATTACACATTGTTTCTCTTTTTGTATGAACATTAATAGAATATCATTATGTGAACACAACACTCACCCCTTTTTTCTTCTTTTTTTGTAAACATTTATCCATTTTTTTCTTTTTGTAAACACTAATAGGTTATCTCACACTCACCTATTGTTTCTCTTTTTATGTGAACACTTACCCATTGTTTTTCTTTATATAAGAATACTCACCTATTGTTTCTCTTTTTATGTGAACACTTACCAATTGTTTCTCTTTATATAAGAATACTCACCTATTGTTTCTCTTTTTATGTGAACACTTACCCATTGTTTCTCTTTATATAAGAATACTCACCTATTGTTTCTCTTTCTATGTGAACTCTCACCCACCATTTCTCTTTTGATGTGAACACTTACCTATTGTTTCTCTTTATGTTAACACTTACCTATTGTTTCTCCTTACATGAGAACACTTACCTATTGTTTCTCCTTACATGTGAACACTTACCTATTGTTTCTCTTTATGTTAACACTTACCTATTGTTTCTCCTTACATGAGAACACTTACCCATTGTTTCTCCTTATATGTGAACACTTACCCATTGTTTCTCCTTATATGTGAACACTTACCCATTGTTTCTCCTTATATGTGAACACTTACCCATTGTTTCTCCTTATATGTGAACACTTACCCATTGTTTCTCCTTATATGTGAACACTTACCCATTGTTTCTCCTTATATGAGAACACTTACCCATTGTTTCCCCTTATATGTGAACACTAATAGCTTATCCCATTATGTGAACACTTACCCATTGTCTCTCTCTTTGTGTGAACACCCACATTAGGATAGTGATCATAATGACTTCTTGGAGATTCTGACTCGCTTGAGTTACCACGTGGTCGAGGTATGTTCTTAGCATACTGTAAGAAAAGTGATAGCGAAATAAAGTATAGCCTCTTCATTGCTGCCAATTGAGCACAATTAGTTCTTTACAACTACAGTATTATTCCTAGTAAAAGTTAATTTGTTTGTTGGTTTGCTTTGGTTTGGTTTTACAGTGTACTGACACAATTAAGGTCATATGGCGCTAAAACAGGAAAGATAATTTTGGCTAACCTTTGGTGTTACAAACTTAAAGCAACATCAGGGGGGCTAACAGATGTTAAAATAAGTTCTGTATATAGTGTTTAGCTTAACTAATGTTGTGCAACTTGCATTATTTTTTCAGGTACAAGCTTACATCTGGGTAGAGTCATCAAGCCTTTGTAAACTATCTAAGCTACCTTCTATCACATAGTTTACAATACAAATTGACTTTACGGTCCCAATTATTCGCAAAAATACTGTATTTCCATTGCAAATATAATACATAAAATATATAGATACTTCCAGGCAAAAAATGATTCAAAAGTGATACGGCCTGAAAATATCTATATAAATTGGTGCATAATGAATTAAACTGAAAATAAAACAAGCAGCAAAAAGTACTTTAATTGTGGACTTGAGCTATTACACAATCAATTAAGGGGAGCTGTGGCCTAGTGGTTAAGGTGTCTGCCTCTCAACAGACATCAGGGTTCGAGTCCTACTCCGGTCACAACCATGTTTCTTCATATGACACCAGTACCGGGTGGTTTCAGGAAGCCGACTTGAAAGTGACATAAATATAAGTTGAAAGAACTTGTTTGGCAATCGATGTGTTTAAACTAATCAATTTAAAGCAAACCTCTCTCCCTCTGTGGGTTTTGCTCCCTGCATCTGGTGGTCCTGTTTTTCCTGCAGGATTTAGAGGTGTACCATGTTCTTTGGTCCATTTCTCACAGAATGGAATGTGGTGTTTGGCAGCTGGATGACTGAAACATCGGCCACACCATTTACATTTTATCTGAGCTGTAACATACAAAAATATACACCACTGAACTTCCATTCATGAAAGAAGCTTGTTACAAGGCCAAAAACCATAATAAATAAATTTACATAACAAATATGCAAGTCAGTAATTTCATATATAGTTGGAAGTATACTGATTCCCTTAAGGATTCATAGTAACTTTCCAGTTTAATTCAGAAATGGGTGTTTTGTACACATGATGTTTATGTAAAAAATTATTGCATATTTGCAAGAATTTTAATTTCTAATATTTGCACATGGATATTCATTTATTGTAATATAGCATATAAGTATGTAGAAATATGTTGATATGTAAATGATCACATAAAATTTATAATCAGCAAGCAAATGAAATTATTTGAAATATCTTCCAAAATAAAACATACTACCAATTTGTTTTGAAAAATTTATACAACTTCTGAAGATCTATTTTAGACAATAAAATATCAATATCTCACCAACACCATCATCTCTGGCACTTTCCCTAGCACTGTCCTTAGTTGATGGAGTTGTGGCTGAGCTGTATCGTCTCTGACTTGCTTTTGCAGCACGCTTGGCTCGTCTGATGTTACGCAGCAGTTCTTCGTGTGTCGACCTCCAGTCACCATTTCTCTGTGGATATTGGTCCTCTTCAGGACTACCTTTACCACTAAATATATCCTCCGGCTTGTGTTTTGGTTCTGGTTCCTCATCACTTGCATCGAATCTTCCTCCATGACGTAACGCACATCCAGGCTCATGCATAGACTGTAATAAAATGTTAATATTTAAGCCTCATGCATGAACTTTATATAAAATGTTCATACTTAAAAGCCACTTATTGAAAATAATTGCAATATGCTCAAGTTATGTTTGACTTATTCTTATATATATTTTGTAATATTAAATAGAGGTCAGAAATAAGTAAATATTGTCAATGTAACATTCTACGAAATAATGTCAAAAATTCCCACAGACTGGTGTTCTGCTCAAATATCACTGTCAGAGAGAATATTCCCTGAAAGGTACATTATTCTTATATAACCCTCTTAAAATAATTATTCTATGAAAGGTATATTTCTAAAATCAGCCTAGGGCATATAAATATTACCCTTTGAGAGCATATTCCCTGGGATATATCACTTATTATATCACCCTTATAAAGGCATATTAATAGCACCCTCAGAGAGAATATTCCCTGCGGCATATCCTTCATAACACCCCGAGGCAAATAATTGTTACATAACTGTATGTAATTTGTGGTTAATTGTAGTTCTTGAAATGATATTGAAAAAATTAAAGCTGTGCCTCAGGTAATAAATTTGCCAGTTGTCAGGGTAACGATGACCACTATTTCCCAAAGATCAAAATAACAAGAAGTACTGTAAAACAAGAGGGCCATGATGGCCCTGAGGTTGCTCACCTGTATATAGGCCCCCCCCCCCACCCCCGGGCCAATTTTTACCCAAGGGCTTTTATTTGTTTATTTGAACAGACTTGGTAGACACCCATAAGAAGATGTTTCATGCTAAACATCTAAGTTCTAGCTCATTGGGTTTTTTAAAAGAAGATTTTTAAAGTTTTTACTATACACATATAGTTAAAAACAATGACACCCCTGGGGCAGGGCCAGTTTTGACCCCCGGGCTTTTATTTGAACAAACTTTGTAGATATTTACTTAAAGATGTTTCATGCTTAATATCTAAACTCTAGCTATTTGGGTTTTTTCAAAGAAGATTTTTAAGTTTTTGCTATACACATATAAGGAAAATCAATGACCCCCCCCCCCCGGGCGGGGCCAGTTTTGACCCCAGGGCTTTTATTTGAACATACTTGGTAGACACCCATTAGAACATGTTTCATGCTAAATATCTTAGCTCTAGCTCTTTGAGTTCTTTAAAAGAAGATTTTTTAAGTTTTTACTATATGCATATAGGGAAAATCAATGACCCCCTGGGGCGGGGCCAATTTTGACCCCAGGGCTTTTATTTGAACAAACTTGGTAGACACTCACTAGAAGATGTTTCATGCCAAATATCTAAGCTCTAGCTCTTAGGGTTGTTTAAAAGAAGATATTTAAAGATTTTTCTTTCGGTTGCCATGGCAACCAGAGTTCTGCATGGAATTAAATTCTTTGAACAATTTTTAAAGGTGACCACCAAAGGAACATTCCTGTGAAGTTTGGATGAAATTGGCTCAGTGGTTTATGAGGAGATGTCATTTAAAGCAAAAGTTTACGGACGGACGACGGACGGACGCCGGACGAAAAGCGATCACAAAAGCTCACCCTGTCACTTTGTGACAGGTGAGCTAAAAAATCTATACATGCAATAAAATAATAAAGTAATAAACAGAAAATAAGACTTGTGATTTTAAGTTGACTTGACATGGCCCAAAAACTGACATGGTGAATACTCTACCACTGGATTGTCAGACAAAATTACGGGTAACAAACACACTTAAAACAGTTTTCCAAGCAATAACATTTATATTTTTTTCAGGAAAAAAAACAACAACTTACAAGCTGACTAAAAGGCATCCTCTTCTCGCAGTATGTACATTTAAACAACCTGCTATCCATGTCATCTGTAAGTATAGTATATGTAATATCTGTAAGTATAGTATATGTAATATCTGTAAGTACAGTATATGTAATATCTGTAAGTATAGTTTATGTTATATCTGTAAGTATAGTATATGTTATATCTGTAAGTATAGTATATGTTATATCTGTAAGTATAGTATATGTAATATCTGTAAGTATAGTATATGTAATATCTGTAAGTATAGTATATGTAATATCTGTAAGTATAGTATATGTAATATCTGTAAGTATAGTATATGTTATATCTGTAAGTATAGTATATGTAATATCTGTAAGTATAGTATATGTAATATCTGTAAGTATAGTATATGTAATATCTGTAAGTATAGTATATGTAATATCTGTAAGTATAGTATATGTAATATCTGTAAGTATAGTATATGTTATATCTGTAAGTATAGTATATGTAATATCTGTAAGTATAGTATATGTTATATCTGTAAGTATAGTATATGTAATATCTGTAAGTATAGTATATGTAATATCTGTAAGTATAGTATATGTAATATCTGTAAGTATAGTATATGTAATATCTGTAAGTATAGTATATGTAATATCTAAAAGTATAGTATATGTTATATCTGTAAGTATAGTATATGTTATATCTAAAAGTATAGTATATGTAATATCTGTAAGAATAGTAGTTGTAATATCTGTAAGTATAGTATATGTAATATCTGTAAGTATAGTATATGTTATATCTGTAAGTATAGTATATGTAATATCTGTAAGTATAGTATATGTTATATCTGTAAGTATAGTATATGTTATATCTGTAAGTATAGTATATGTTATATCTGTAATTATAGTATATGTAATATCTGTAAGTATAGTATATGTAATATTTGTAAGTATAGTATATGTAATATCTGTAAGTATAGTATATGTAATATCTGTAAGTATAGTATATGTAATATCTGTAAGTATAATATATGTTATATCTGTAAGTATAGTATATGTAATATCTGTAAGTATAGTATATGTAATATCTGTAAGTATAGTATATGTAATATCTGTAAGTATAGTATATGTAATATCTGTAAGTATAGTATATGTAATATCTGTAAGTATAGTATATGTTATATCTGTAAGTATAGTTTATGTTATATCTGTAAGTATAGTATATGTAATATCTGTAAGTATAGTATATGTAATATCTGTAAGTATAGTATATGTAATATCTGTAAGTATAGTATATGTTATATCTGTAAGTATAGTATATGTTATATCTGTAAGTATAGTATATGTTATATCTGTAAGTATAGTATATGTAATATCTGTAAGTATAGTATATGTAATATCTGTAAGTATAGTACATGTAATATAAAGAAATGTCTAGGAAAAAGGTTATTATTATTATAAACTGAATACAAATATACAAAATACAAACATTAGGTAATGGTATATAAATGGGAAAACATAATATTTAGACAATCAGAGTTATACCAACAAAATAAATGTGGCAGTTAGATAAAAACAAGAGGGCCATGATGGCCCTAAGGTCGCTCACCTGTATATAGGCCCCCCAACCCCCACCCCCCCCCCCCCCCCCCAACGTTGCATGGCCAATTTAACCCAAGGGCTTTTATTTGCAAAAACTTGGTAGACACCCATAAGAAGATGTTTCATTTGAGTTTTTACTATACATATATAGTTAAAAACAATGACACCCCTGGGGCCGGGCCAGTTTTGACCCCAGGGCTTTTATTTGAACAAACTTTGTAGACACTTATTAGAAGATGTTTCATGCTTAATATCTAAACTCTAGCTATTTGGGTTTTTTCAAAGAAGATTTTTTAAGTTTTTGCTATACACATATAAAGAAAATCAATGACCCCTGGGGCGGGGCCAATTTTGACCCTAGGTCTTTTATTTGAACAAACTTTGTAGACACTCACTAAAAGATGTTTCATGCTTAATATCTTAACTCTAGCTATTTGGTTTTTTTCAAAGAAGATTTTTTAAGTTTTTGCTATACACATATAAGGAAAATCAATGACCCCGGGGGCAGTGCCAATTTTGACCCCAGGGCTTTTATTTGAACAAACTTGATGCTAAATATCTTAGCCATAGCTCTTTGAGTTCTTTAAAAGAAGATTTTCCAATTTTTTACTATATGCCTATAGGGAAAATCAATGACCCCCCCAGAGCGGGACCAATTTTGACCCCAGGGCTTTTATTTGAACAAACTTTGTAGACACTTATTAGAACATGTTTCATGCTAAATATCTTAGCTCTAACACTTTTGGTTCTTTAAAAGAAGATTTTTTAAGTTTTTACTATATGCATATAGGGAAAATCAATGACCCCCTGGGGGGGGGGCCAATTTTGACCCCAGGGCTTTTATTTGAACAAACTTGGTTGACACCTATTAGAACTTGTTTGATGCTTAATATTTTAGCCATAGCTCTTTGAGTTCTTTAAAAGAAGATTTTTTAAGTTTTTACTATATGCATATAGGGAAAATCAATGACCCCCCGGGGCGGGGCCAATTTTGACCCCAGGGCTTTTATTTGAACAAACTTGGTAGACACCCATTAGAACATGTTTCATGCTAAATATCTTAGCTCTAGCTCTTTGGGTTCTTTAAAAGAAGATTTTTTAAGTTTTTACTATATGTATATAGGGAAAATCAATGACCCCCCCGGGGCGGGGCCAATTTTGACCCCAGGGCTTTTATTTGAACAAACTTGGTAGACACTCACTAGAAGATGTTTCATGCCAAATATCTAAGCTCTAGCTCTTATGGTTTTTTAAAAGAAGATATTTAAAGTTTTTTCTTTCGGTTGCCATGGCAACCAGAGTTCTGCATGGAATTAAATTCTTTGAACAATTTTTAAAGGTGACCACCAAAGGAACATTCCTGTGAAGTTTGGATGAAATTGGCTCAGTGGTTTATGAGGAGATGTCATTTAAAGTAAAAGTTTACGGACGGACGACGGACGGACGACGGACGGACGCCGGACGAAAAGCGATCACAAAAGCTCACCCTGTCACTTTGTGACAGGTGAGCTAAAAATGTTACAAACCATCAAAATAAAAAGTTTAAATAAGTTATGACATAGCTATTCATATAATAATTATTTTGCCCATTAAGCCCAAAAAATGATATACCATTTCACAAAACCTTTTTAATTTTGGTGATTTGTTTCAGTTTCCAAAAGTTATTTCTTTGGCCATAAAACTGATCTTTTACTTCAATGCATTTTGGAATTCAGTAAAATTAAATTTTAGAAGTTACATTAATAAACCAACTTTGCAAAATTAACTAAAACTATCACTAAATGTGATTAATACCCCTGCAAGACAGCTTCAGAAATGAGGAAGTTACTAGTTACAGAATACGTTGTAAAAGAATTGAACTAAGAGTTATGGTTGTGGGCAATTAAAGATAGTTGTGGTTCTTGTCGTTGCATTTCCTTTCACTTTGGTTGACCATTTATGAGGCTGATTTATTAAATTACTCTGTAATAAGTCCAGAAAGAGTAACACTTCTTGAGCACTGCACTTCCTCTCATTGCGCTTGACCATGCACTGGACAAGAAAAAGTATCAAAGGGCAATAACTCTGTGATTAGTCAAAATGGAGTTATGGCTCTTGTGCACTGCATTTTCTCTCAATGTGTTTGACCTTTGTATGAAGTTGTATTGAATTCAAACCAGTTGTTTTCAAGTAACACTCTGGACAAGAAAAAAGCAATGGAAAAGTAACAAAGGGCAATAACTATATAATTACTCTGGATAGAGTTATGTTTCTTATGCACAGCACTTCCTCTTATTGTGCTTGACCATTGAATGAAGTTTTTTTGAATTCCAACAAGTACTTTTCAAGTTATGCTCCGGACAAGGAAAAACATCAAAGGAAAATAACTGTAATTGGTAAAGATGGAGTGTAATAGTTCTTGTGCACTGCACCGCCTCTCAATGTGCTTGACAATTGTATTAAGTTGTATTGAATTCTAACTGGAGGTTTTCAAGTATTTCTATGGACAAGAAAAAAGCAATGGAAAAGTAAGAAAGGGCAATAACTCTATAAATTACTCTGGATAGAGTTCTGTTTCTTGTGCACTGCACATCCTCTTATTGTGCTTGACCATTTGTGCACTGCACATCCTCTTATTGTGTTTGACCATTGTATGAAGTTGTTTTGAATTCCATCCCCTACTTTTCAAGTTATGCACCGGACAAGGAAAAGTATCAAAGGGCAATAACTCTGTAATTTGTCAAAATGGAATTACTGTTCTTGTGCACTACCCTTTTACTCAATGTACTTGACCATTGTATGACGTTGTATTGAATTCCAACATGTGGTTTTCAAGTTAATGGCATAAGACACTTAGGAAAAGTAACAAAGGGCAATAACGCTGTAATTAGTAAAGATGGAGTTATGGTTCTTGTGCACTGCAATTCCACTCAATGTGCTTGATCATTGTATAAAGTTGTATTGAATTCCAACCATTAGTCTTCAAGTTATGCTCCGGACAAAAAAAAAAGCAATGGAAAAGCAACAAAGAGTAATAACTCTGTAATTACTTTAGATAGAGTTATGGTTCTTGTGCACTGCACTTCTTTTTATTGTGCTTGACCATTGCGTGAAGGTGTTTTGAATTCCAACCAGTAGTTTTCCAGTTATGCTACATACAAGGAAAAGTAATTAAGGGCAATAACTATGTAATTAGTCAAGATGGAGTTATTGTTCTTGTGCACTGCACTTCATCTCAATGTGTTTGACCTTTGAATGAAGTTGTATTGAATTCCAACCTTTAATCTTTAAGTTATGCTTCGGACAAGGAAAATGCAATGGACCGCTAGACCGACCAACCAACCAACCGGGTCACTGGGCGACTCCTATATATCCCCTCCCAAACTTCATTTCGGGGGTATGATAACCATTAATTTTTCTCAGTGACTAACACAGTAAGGGCTATTTTTGCTATAGTTTAGTACTGAACCAAAGCAGTCTCTGTATTTTTTGTTTTACATAATGTGATTTTCTTGATTTGCGTGACTACAGGTGTTTGGTGAGGTGATTGGTCAATATGCCAAAAAGAAAAAAAAAGATACATAAATACTACATTTATTAGCGTATATCTTTTTTTTCAAAGTGACTAATCAACATGCTGAGCACCTGTGTGTGACGTGCCGAATATTAATATGAATAACAATCAATTTTTTGGTAAGTGAGCGTATTAAACAATTGGTTTTAAATAACTAAGATTTTTGCACGAGAACTACTTGCATGCCAGTATACAGTGGTTAACCAAATTTTCATCATGATAACCTTTAAGTTGATAATGCACATTAAACTTTAAAAGGAAGGATCATGAACATGCTATTATGTGGTAAGTAACTACAATTTAGTGATATAATTATAAAACAACACACCATTCTGTTGGGGATTTTCTATCTATGCAAATGTCAATGTACATGTATAACCCAATCCCACATGATTACTTTCTAAGAACATTAATTTTAAGTCAAATAAACATGTTATATGCACAGCTTTGACAAACATAACTTTAAAGCAATGTTAACAGTTTACTAATGAATTTTGTATAAATGTAACTTATTATATTCCCCATTTATTTACAATTTTGTATTGAACACGGAGGCTGTAACAGACAGGTATAGCCAGACAGAATGTCTACATTCTGTACCAGTACACTCACCTGTACCACATCTGTTAAAATTAGTATCTGCTACATGATTAGATTATCATTTTTGTGAGCATAAACATTTATCTTATTATAGCTGAACATTTTGCATTGAATGCTGTTTAATCTCAAAGAGTCAAAGTTACATGTACCTATATTATATAACATACATTTTTTTTTGTATTTACAATGTTTTTATGCAATTTTTTTTCTTCTCTAATAAAAAGGCATTGCCATAGAGTATTATTTTTGAATATTGCACTTATGCACCAGTTTACTATACCCCCTTCACAACATGTTGAGGGACTGTACCCTTCTGTATGTTCAATTCAAGTAGACCTTGGTTATTTTTAGAGCCAAAATAGCAGGTCTATTCCGGCGGACACTGTAGAAGTATATTAAAGGCAGGTTTTGCTGCCAGGCTGACCTACAGTCTCTACAAAACAGGCATTTATCATTTGGCTTTGGTAATCCAAAAGTCCCTGCTACATGTATCTATTAGGGGGTAATGGAACTGGGATTACAACTGAATTGTGCAATGAAAACTTACACTCTATAAAGTTATATTTTGCTATTGATCAATGTGGAAAATGTTTAATTTATTCAATACAACAAAAAACACCTACCATCATCGGAATCATCATAGTTCATACCACCACCTCTGTGCCCCCCAAAATGATTCTCTTTGTTAAATGTATGCCTTGACGTTGACCGAGATGGAGAGAAGAAATATTCGTCATCAAGCCCATTGGCTCCCTCCTCGAATGCTACGTTATGTTTATGATTTCTAGGCTGTGAGCGTGCTGTATTAAATGAACCAGGCGTGCCTAATGGGGGTAAAACATGCAGGAAATGTTTTAACACTAATTCAATAAACAGTTCAAACCATGTCAAGTCATGCTTTAAATTAATTATTTAAATGCACCCTATATAGATGTTATCCACAACTTGGCAAATGTAGGGTTTTTTCCCAAGCTAATCCCTCGGTACAAACAATCTTTTACCCTTACAGCTTCAATATCGGTCACAATAGATTTTTCAAACTGTTGCACTCATTTCCGAAGCTGTAACTGTAAAAGTTTGTTTATACTCCCAGATTTATCAATATTTTCTAATATCAAATTTGAGCATAGTATATCTTGAAAGGATCTTATGAACAGGAATGCACAATAATAAGTAAATTCAAGTTAAGACTTTTTCTATCTGATCATAATGTAAACTATAGTATAAATGTTTTAGGTTTATCAGATTTTAAAGGAACTCCACTGATGTCCAAAAGTCTAAACACATAAAGTTTTAATTTCTTACAACTGGGGGCACTTAAACAGAAAAGATATAATAATTATGCAACAGATAATTCAAAATATACAAAGAAATAAATTGAAAATTGTATTTTTGTGCTAGTCTTAGCCAGATTCATGCAACACTTTTCAATTTTGGTTAACTTTTTACAATCAGAATAATAATTCTGGAAAAAGGGAGTGAATGAATGATCTGAAATTTTGCACACAAATTATTGGTAAAGACCTACAACAAATGTTACGAAAGTTCCAAAATATTATTTCCTGTCTGGTCAAGTCGAAAAACCTCAGTGGAGTCCCTTTAAAATAAGGTTGCTTTCATGCAGTTAACCAACAGTGACACTCTATTTATATTCTATATACATTTATTCAAATACTGAAGGAATGTTGTGCAACAATTGCTATTCACCGTTATTTGGTGCATTAATACTAAGTCTTTGGTGGCACCAATTGTTTGACTGATGCCGAGTCATCTTTGCATTCATACAACATAAATAATGGATGAGATTTCTTGTTGGGAAAAAATGGGGTATCAAGAAATAATTCTTTTTCAGAAAAATGAAAATAAACATTTTTTTTTGTAATTTTGAAATACATCTGGATTTGTGCTGCTTTAAAGTAGTTACAAAGTAGTATTGTTTGGTTTTATTAACCTGTCAATTACATACTGATTACACGGTCGATGCACACAGTATATTAATCTTCGGTAGATGTTCGGTAAGTTCCGTGAGATGTACGCTGTACGACAGAATTTAATTTGTATCTCTAAACTTAAGTATACTCAGCGTTATAGCGCAATAGGGTAAATCACAAGTTTATTATCTAAGTGCCACACGTGTTTCAAGTTCGAGGCCGCGTTGGTCCATGTTTTTTTCTTATTAATACTTTCAACATTATTGAATCTATATATGATTATTTTATGTTGTTCGTTTTTTTAGTATTATGTTTTACTTAATTTTGTTATGTATATACTCTTTTTAAATAACATGTTTTTTTAAGAATTCATGTTTAAAATTAAAACGGATTAAACTCAATAAATGTCTTTTCAATGCCGTAAAACACACACACTACAAATCTGTTCCATTAAAATATACTGCAAAAATAAAGAAAGAGTACTAAAACAATGGCAACAGTAAGGATCGAACCACAGACCTCTCAATTATCAGGCATTCTCTTTACCGACTGTCCTATTGTGAATTAACGAAAACCTTCACATTAAGCTGGCGTGACTTTCTATCCATGACTTATATACTCCACATTAAGTCTCGTAAACTACACGGACCAAACCGAAGTGGGATCGAATATTTAAATGAGTCCTATAATGTATTCATAATTGACAGGTCAATAAAATCAGACTATACTACATATTTTAACCACAAACTATGTACAGTATTCTATGAACTACATCATGTACATCATAACATGCATTTTCAAACCCAAGTTCTATCACCATGCATGATTATGAAGTACAAATGATTTATAAACAAACATGACGGTGGGAAGCAGTGGCCTAATGCTTTTATGGTGCCTGCTTCTCAACTTAGGCTCATGAGTTCAATTAAGCCCTTACTGAGGTCAAAACTTTCTTTAAATACACCCAGTACTGGTTGGTAACAGAAAAAGGATTGGAGTTTGGTTTAACTTAAGTAAAGTACAATCTTCAATCTTATTTCAGAAACAATCATACATGTAGATAAATAATGCTTCATAAAGTTAAACTAAACAAACTCACCACGCCGGAAGAATTCTTCGAAAGGGTCTGGTGCATCGAAAAAACTTGAAAATCCAAAACCTCCATTAGGAATATCATGTCCCAAAAAGAATGCATCAAAACTCATCCCTAAATCATCTACAAATGATTTAAAGGCGAAAGAAAAGTTTGACTTTGGCGGACGTGGATCATAGAACTGATCAGTGTCGTCAGGTGCTGTCCACTCGTGCGACCAAGGTCTACGGGGTCTTGATCGAGTCGACTGTTTCTTTTTTGTCTTCTGCTGCGATTTTTTTCCTGTTTTATATCCAGTGTGCTCATTCTTATGTCCAGAAGGCTCTTTCCCTTCATCGGCAAAACTTCCAAAATTTGAATTTCTATATCTGTTTTCTGATTCTTTACCAAACTTTCTAGACCATGAACTGTGGTCATCATGTTCATGATTGGTAGGATTATGGTAACTATTGGTTTTTCTTGTGAAAGTAAAGGTATGTGATGCATTTGTCTCTCTATGTCGATTATTAACTTCTCTCTCATGAATTTCTCTACGGTCATCACTCTTAAGAACATCGTATGCTGCAGCAATTTCTTTAAATTTTTCTTCAGCATCGTGGTCCTTGTTTTTATCGGGATGGAACTTTTTTGCAAGAGATCTATAGGCTTTTTTAACCTCTTCTTCTGAACAGCCTGGTTTCAGGCCAAGCGTATGGAAATGATTTTTCGTCATTGTTATTGCAATGTATTAAAGTGATGGCATTTCACATACATAATATCTAGTTCCCAAAAAATCTGTAGAATTTAAACAATAAGGGGAATGTTCTTTGAGGTTTTCCATTGCAAAAAAAGGTAACTCATTTATGTTTTCTTTTCATCCTGTTTCAAAGACAGCTATAATTGTTGAATAGAACTGACAGATTATTTTTGCTATAGATGTTTTCAGATGGTCTCCAAATGAAGAAGGAATACTGATGCTGACCTGCAGTGATTGTGAAAACTGAAAGAAAAGAAAAAACATATCATAAGACTGAAATTTGTTTCTGAAATATACCCCTGATATACAGCCATAATATACTATCAAATTGTCTTAATTACCAAAACTTATTTTTAGAAATTGCTAAATTTTTATTCTACAATTTTTTTTTAAACAAATCAAAGTCATTGATAGTTTGCCAGTTATCATCATGTTTAGTCAACATCTCCAAATTCACATTATCACTTAAAATTTATATACATAGTTAATATATTTAAACGGTCTTGAAAGTTCGAGGCATATGTAAAGGTAAAGAACTGATGAAGACCTCACGGTAGGCCGACACCAGTAAATAATAAAATAATATAAAGATCCCCGATGTTGATGTTTAATTTTCTTTTAATTTTTACTTATCTTATCTTAATTTTTTTTATATAATTATAATTTTAATGCCAAGAATTCTGATTTAAAACTGAAAGCGAGTTATGACATAGGGAAATTTTACATCGAGAAGGAAGGAAATTAAAGATCAACAAATGTAATAAATTCTCACTTTTCGATAAAAATACCCCCACCCCCGGATATCTAGGATAGACACTTCAGGTTATGTTACATGTTAATCAACATTGGGTATCGGAAAAATCAATGATACTAAAAGGCAACAAGAGTCCCTTTAAGTTTTGAGATTGATGTGGTGTTCCAACCGAATGTGGTGGCGGAATTACAAACTAAAGAAGTCAGACGCTTGAATCAGCATGACAAAATTATCAGTGCCAACTTCCAAGTGCCTTAAGTACACCATACTCATTTCCTTGAGTAAAATCATCTGTGAGTCAACAACACACTGTAATGGAACTGTTTAATCAAAGGCAACATGCAAAAACAAATCTCAGACATGTCGAGGATAAGCACCTATAACAGATTGTAAAAATTTAATTCCTATTACCCACATTAACAGTCGTAACTCTTTACCATACTGTTACAGCTCATTATGATTATTATAATCATGACTGTGGCATATTATCAGTGAATTGGGACCAATCTTCAACAGGTTTATGAAAGAAATATATTACTCTTTAATAAAAAAAAAAAAAAAATAAAAAAATAAATAAAAAAAAAGTTAAACGGACGTTGCGTCATTTGTCATTTGTTATTTTATAAACGTCATCTTTTTCTGAAGAAGACTAAACGTCGAAAGCTTAAGAAAAGCGTTTGTTTTTATTGAACTGATTATATATTATTCTTTAATGAAATGAAAAACAATTTCAAAGACAGTGTGTATTTACATTAATTTTGACTTACTTATGAATAAATACCTTTTGACAAAATAATTACACTGTCACATCTGAAAAATCATGATTTATTATCCTCTCATGTAATTAAAATCCTTATACAGGCGATAAACAAATGGCCGCTATACAGTGTGCGAAATCTGATTGGCTAATTAATTCAAATGCAAGTGTTTAAGAGTCAGAAGATTCTAACGGAATACTATTTAACTAAATAATTGCCCATGCACCGTCAGCGTGTTTGAATATATTTTTCTGTTCAAAAATTACGAATCAATATTTAAAGCGCCTTACTTAACCAATATGGCCGATAAACAAAAACAGATTGATGTTTATATTTTATTTTAGATTGATAATTACATTGTTTGAAATTGAGAGTTTTTGTTTATGATTGAGCATGAAATTGAAAGGAAAGAAGATAAGCTTTTGAATAAAGCTTGAAAGGCAAGACAAAAGACATGTTTTGAATTTTTTTTATTTATGATCCTATGCGTTTATGAGCAATAACTATTAGACATCAGGCTTGACCGACATAAACTATAACAAGCCTGTAACGTCTCATAAATTGGACTACCAAAGATCATGCATATGTTTCAATCCCTTAAGTCTTGCAAGTCACATGATAGGAGGACATCCATGGCAGTGAATTTTACTAAGTTTAAAGTTACATTTCATAAATTTCATAAAAACAGAAATAACGACATTTCATTAATAAATTGGGTTTCATATTGAATTCAGATCTTATTTTGGTGTCCAGACAACCAAAAGGAGTTTTATCGGCAAACAAATGTGCAACCTTATTGTGGCGAATTCGGAATACAATTTCTGTTTGCATAAGAAACTCCGCCTTCTGATCATCCGAACATCAATATTAAATCAACAAACATGCCTATAAGTAGCAGTCCTAATTTAACGGTATATTTCCGCATTGTAACGCATATTTTTTATACAAATTTAATCTTTTTTATGAGATGATTATTTTTTCTGAACCCCAGGCCTAGTGCACCATGAAGCTTAAACGGTTAAAGTGTGTTTGCACAAGAAAATCTTATATTTGCTGTGTTCCGGATAGCAACGATAACACAGTGACCGTGGGGTTTTCCATTTAAAATCCTTATTGATGAACAATATTTGATGAGATTTACAACGATTCTGTTAAAAAGGTTAATGAAACTGTAGAATACTTGGTTTTTAGGCCGACGGCAAAAATATTTTTACATATTTACTTAACGTAGCTTTAACTGAGCTGATTAACTTTGATATAAACCATTTTTTGTTTAAAAACTCTGAAGTGTGCAAAAAAGATTGAATTAACTAGTCAATGTGTAGAGCTTTCATTCATATAACGCAAATTGATCGAAGTGCACATGACATTTATAAGTATCCTGTTTTCTCGTATTCTCAAGGGGTTAAGGACTAAACTTGGTTGCATAATATTTATAAAACATTTTGTTACAGTATTTTTAGCCCGATACACAGAGAAATACATTATTAACAAAATACAAAGAAAAAAGATCGTAACTGTAAGCAAAACAAAAGATATTTCTGCTTGTATATACTGACCTTCACCCTCTGAGTGAAGCAGGACTGTGCTTTCTCGTATTCTCGTGGAATTTGATTGGTTGTTAAGGCTGGTCGCTATGTGATGATTTTATTCTACATACCAGTTCAAATCATTAGTGCCACACCTAATTAAGTGTTAAATGGCCTAAATCTGTAATTTTATTGTGTTTTAAACTGATATCAAACTTTTAGGATCATATTGACGCCTCTTTGGTACCAAATGATTTTGATTGTTCCAAAAATTGTTTGAACTCAATTTAGTGTTGTTATTTACATAATCTCTCTAATATATGTTAAGTTTACGTTTATTTTTTAGTTACTTATTAGTTATATGATGAGCATTAAACAATGAATACTACTGTTTTCCATTGCAGTTGTCAAAAATGAAATGTGTTTAGGACAAACAATATTTCATTATTGGTTTTTAATTGGAGTTCATATCTTTTTTTATACTATCCAGGGCCTTCCCCAGGCCAATTTAGCGCCCCGGCACCGGGGCGCTTGTTTTTCCGTTTACGGATCACCGGGGCGCTTGGATTTTGGCTTGCATGTTGATCTTAGCGCCGGGGCTCTTGCATTTTGACTACAGGAGAAATTTCTTATCAACGTAATAGCTCGTGCTACATTGTCGTATTGTGTCATCGATCTCGTGTTATGACAGGATGTGTCTATAAACATATGACCGCTTATAATGCACAGTATTTGTTGATGTAATTAAAGAGCAATCTGTTTTCGAAGAACTTAGCAATTAATTGCTTTTGATTGAAATCAATTATCAGATCAACGGTGATTACGGATTATGGATAATTTATGTTGCAATAAGCGTGTGTTTTATTGGTTCATGGGAGGTGCTAAATGCGATGTGATTTAGGTAAGATTGTTTTGTTGTTTCAATAAATATATAAATTTGAGTACTTGAGGACAACTTCATTCTCAAAAAGTTTTTAAAGAGTCTGTTTTAGTAACTTATAATAACTTTTGAAACAAGAGGGCCATGATGGCCCTGAAGTCGCTCACCTGTATATAGCACCCCCCCCCTGGCAGGGCCGATTTTAACCCAAGGGCTTTTATTTAAACAAACTTGGTAGACACCCATAAGATGTTTCATGCTAAACATCTAAGCTCTAGCTCATTGGGTTTCTTAAAAGAAGGTTTTTTAAGTTTTTATTATACACATATAGTTAATTAATGACACCCGTGGGCCGGGGCCAGTTTTGACCCCAGGGCTTTTATTTGAACAAACTTTATAGACACTTACTAGAAGATGTTTCATGCTTAATATCTAAACTCTAGCTATTTGGGTTTTTTCAAAGAAGATTTTTAAGTTTTTGCTATACACATTAAGGAAAATCAATGACCCCCAGGGGCGGGCCAATTTTGACACCAGGGCTCTTATTTGAACATACTTGGTAGACACCCATTAGAACATGTTTCATGCTAAATATCTTAGCTCTAGCTCTTTGAGTTCTTTAAAGAAGATTTTTTAAATTTTTACTATATGCATATAAGGAAAATCAATGATCCCCTGGGGCGGGGCCAATTTTGACCCCGGGGCTTTTATTTGAACAAACTTGGTAGACACTCATTAGAAGATGTTTCATGCTAAATATCTTAGCTCTAGCTCTATGGGTTCTTTAAAAGAAGATTTTTAAAGTTTTTACTATATGCATATAGGGAAATCAATGACTACACGGGGCGGGGCCAATTTTGACCCCAGGGCTTTTATTTGAACAAACTTGGTAGACACTCACTAGAAGATGTCTCATGCCAAATATCTAAGCTCTAGCTCATTGGGTTTTTTAAAAGAAGATTTTGTAAGTTTTTACTATACACATATAGTTAATAAATGACACCCCTGGGGCGGGGCCAGTTTTCACACCAGGGCTTTTATTTGAACAAACTTTGAAGACACTTATTAGAAGATGTTTCATGCTTAATATTTAAACTCTAGCTGTTTGGGTTTTTTCAAAGAAGATTTTTAAGTTTTTGCTATACACATTGTAGGAAAATCAATGACCCCCCAGGGCAGGGCCAATTTTGACTCTGAGGGCTTTTATTTGAACATACTTGGTAGACACCCATTAGAACATGTTTCATGCAAAATATCTTAGCTCTAGCTCTTTGAGTTCTTTAAAAGAAGATTTTTCATGTTTTTACAATATGCATATAGGGAAAATCAATGACCCCCTGGGGCCGGGCCAATTTTGACCCCAGGGTTTTTATTTGAACAAACTTGGTAGACACTCACTAGAAGATGTTTCATGCCAAATATCTAAGCTCTAGCTCTTACGGTTTTTTAAAAGAAGATATTTTAAGTTTTTACTATACACATATAGTTAATAAATGACACCCCTGGGGCGGGGTCAGTTTTGACCCCAGGGCTTTTATTTGAACAAACTTTGTAGACACTTATTAGAAGATGTTTCATGCTTAATATTTAAACTCTAGCTGTTTGGGTTTTTTCAAAGAAGATTTTTAAGTTTTTGCTATACACATTTTAGGAAAATCAATGACCCCCAGGGCGGGGCCAATTTTGACCCGAGGGCTTTTATTTGAACATACTTGGTAGACACCCATTAGAACATGTTTCATGCTAAATATCTTAGCTTTAGCTCTTTGAGTTCTTTAAAAGAAGATTTTTTATGTTTTTACTATATGCATATAGGGAAAATCAATGACCCCCTGGGGCCGGCCCAATTTTGACCCCAGGGTTTTTATTTGAACAAACTTGGTAGACACTCATTAGAAGATGTTTCATGCTAAATATCTTAGCTATAGCTCTTTGGGTTCTTTAAAAGAAGATTTTTTAAGTTTTTACTATATGCATATAGGGAAAATCAATGACCCCCTGGGGCGGGGCCAATTTTGACCCCAGGGCTTTTATTTGAACAAACTTGGTAGACACTCACTAGGAGATGTTTCATGCCAAATATCTAAGCTCTAGCTCTTATGGTTTTTTAAAAGAAGATATTTAAAGTTTTTTCTTTCGGTTGCCATGGCAACCAGAGTTCTGCATGGAATTAAATTCTTTGAACAATTTTTAAAGGTGACCACCAAAGGAACATTCCTGTGAAGTTTGGATGAAATTGGCTTAGTAGTTTATGAGGAGATGTCATTTAAAGTAAAAGTTTACGGACGGACGGACGATGGAGGGACGGACGGACGAAAAGCGATCACAAAAGCTCACCCTGTCACTTTGTGACAGGTGAGCTAAAAATGGCTGGCGCTAAGAAAAGGCCTGCATCAGGATCGATTAGCATTACAAATTTTTTTAGTAAGACGAGTGAAAATCAAACCGAGTGTAGAGACACTTTAATTATGGGATGTACAAGTCCCCCTTCTAAAAAATGAGAAAAGAGAGATGCACTGGTTTTGATTTAAAGTGGAAATCGGAATTTCCTTGGGTTAAAGAGGTTGATGGAGGTACATAATGAATTTTGTTTTGTTCAAATAGTTAGTTAAAATTTCATTTAACTTTCATTTAACACAGTACTATGTGTTTAATATTTTACTTTCTCTTTCTACTATTTTTTTTGTGGCATATCTGCATAAAAAATGTTGCACTTGCAAAACTAATTTTTTTAAACATTTATTCTTGAATGTTTGCTGTAGTTTAATGCCTTCTTTAATAGATTTAGTTCATGTAAACTTGTCTTTTTCACAAAGTAAACATTTAAAAAGCTGAAAACAGTTATAAATTGTCCGTTTGTTTGATATCTACAGGCCGGGGATGCTATTTACACTACTGTAAAATCACTTGTGACTGGTACATTGTCCGTTCTGCGGTATCTGCAGACCATGCCAGGGGAGGCCTACCAGAGTGCAGTGCAGAGGGTAGAGGACCTTCAGGCCAAAGGGTTCAACATCAAGCCTCCTGCTGAACAAGAGACTGTCAACTTTAGAGAGAAGGTAAATTAAATTTTGCTTAATCTAAAATTTTATTTACATAGAGAATGCAGAAGTTTCCCAATATGTTGTTATCAAGTTTCCTAAGCTGAAATGAACAAGGTGTAATTTAACAATATATTTTTAAACATGACATTGTATTATTTTAGGTGTTCAATCCATTTATGGAAAACATTGTTAATAATTAAAGGGAGTAGTTTGTAACTTCATTTACAAGATAAAAATTGTATTAAAGATGCTGGCTGAGCACATTGGACTTGTGGTTGACAAGACCCTTCATGAGTGGTGCCAAGTTAGGGAATCCATTGCTGACAGTGGGCTTGCAGCAGACAAGGCCATGGAGTGGGTTACCACAAATTTGAACGTCAGCCACACCAACCTCTTCAAACTTGCTGCTGTGGGGCTGTTGATCCCAACATCAACATCAGGTGAGAATAATAATAACTACAAATATAAATCAAATCATACAAACTATTCAGTCACAAAATTTCAAATATTAAACAAAACAAAAATAAAACAATTACTAACTTTTTGCAATGTAAACAACATTACTCTTTTTTTTGTTTTTATTTTGATTCATGAAAGATTTTTTTTACAGACTGTGAGCGTGGATTTTCCACCCTCAAGAGGGTAAAAACAACACACAGGGCATCTTTGAGCCCACCATTTCTCAACCCCCTCCTTCCTGTTGGGATGTTAGGACCACCAATAGAAAAGGTGATATCAACTCCATGGTGAAAATTTGGCACAAGGAGAAACCAAGGCGTAGCCAGCTCTAGGCAGTCATAATTAATTGATATAATATTATTGTTTTAAATTTTTGTGCGATATATATTTTTCTGTTAAAGTTATTTGAAAAGACAATAAAATATGTTAATACTGAACACCTTTTGCTTGACTTAACTCTCATTAAATATGCACCAAAATACACCATTCCTTTGTAAGGTTTCAAAAAAATTTCGACATGCTATTCGTGGAACAAATATTTTGAGCTGTATTGTATAAATAGTAGTGACGTGAGACCGTCATTTGAAGCGTCTTGCGTCAGAGACCCGCTACAGGTTTCTGCAACATGGAAAAAACTAGAAAAATTGATGATTTTTGGGGGAAAATTAATAAATTTAATGTTTATTCTCTGGATTTTACGATTATTTCCACAGTTATTTTGGGTTTTTATCTGTTTTTGTCGCATTTCTTTAATTTTTTTAATGGAGATGAAAATGCTCTGCTAAATAGACATGTTTTCGGATATCGACGGAAGTCGCGAGCGTCGCTTCCATCCGTTTTAATTATTCCACGAGAATACGAGAAACCCCGAGAATACGAGAAACAGGGATATGTTGCAGTTCTGGTTGACGTTTGATACGGGAATAGCAGTAGCTACAGAGAGCATGCCTAGCAATAATATGAAAATTGAACACCTGTCCGCTGAACACAGCTAGCTAGGTAGCTTAAGGTCTTCAGCGTACCCGTTTATATACTATGACATGCCGCATCAGATGAAAAACAAAAATGTTAAATAGCGGCGGGCCGAATAGCGGCTTATAAAGTTTTGGAAGCTAGGGTTAGAAAACAAGTGGATTTGGTATCATTAACCCGTAAGTCAGATATTTCATTAATTTCTGAAGCATCTAGGTTTTAGTTTCTTCGTTACCTATGAATTCCTTGTGGAAATATTAGCCTTTACGTATGCCTCGAACTGTCAAACTTTGTTTTCCATTTTCTTGTTTCCACTACGACCATACAAGGAAAACGGCCATGATATTCCAAATGAAGTTATACGATCTATATGCCATTATGCTCCGTACTATTTCCGGACACTTAGATAGATTAAACGCTGTTAGCTTACCCGAACCAAATAGTTCCCCGATTAAAGGTATTTTTCAAGCATACATGTACTTAAAGATCTTTTGAAATAGTTTTTATTTTGTAAAACGTGTCATATTTTTTTCATAAGCCTTGTTCAAATCGTAGCAACAAATTCGGAAAAGACGTTAAAATTATTTTGCCTCTAAACAGGGTCTTTCAATTAATTTTAAAAAGACCCTGCTCTGAATTAGTAAAAAAGCAGTTTTAGCAACATTTAGCAATTATTTGTGTAAATTCAACAATAGCAGTAGTGTATAAAGTAGGGATTTGATTTTCTTGCATTTACACTGCATGTATACTGTATGACGTTTACTTTTACAAGTATCATTTTAATATTTTGACTTTGTTACTATGTTAGTCTGAAATGCTTAAATTGATGTAACTTGATTTAATTCAATTTTATTACATACATATATATAGGTTCTTATTTGATATTCATTGTTTTCAAATATTTGGCCCTTCTGTTGTAATAATGAATTCCATTGTTGAAGAAGGTGTATACATCATATTTAAATTGTTGTCAGGCTGATAAAATAATGTATGAATGAAGGCTAATGTTATATATGTAGCCTAATCAATTAAGTCATCTATTTGGACTAGGAATGCTGTAATTTTATAGCATATTTATACAATTGTAAGTCATTGTTATTGTGTGTACATTGATTAGACTTTAGATCAACCAATCAAGCAACCAGTTACTCAATTAATAAATAAATAAATACGAATTTACTGTCTGTCTATCTAAATAAATAAATGAACAAATAAACGAACAAATGAACAAACTAAGGAAGGAACAAACAAACGAATGGATGTACGGAATGAAGTTACTGTGTGTCTTTGATGTTTTAGTGTCAAAAAATACCTTGGAGATATTGTTGTGTGTTTTCCCGTACGCACATCTTAATGAAATTAACAATGATGTTTGTATAAAAAATCACAATGTTCACATGATTCCTAAATGATATTAAGTCATCACCCACTTAAGCTCCAAAGCAACTGTACAATGTTTATTTTTATTTCCTAAGGCAAACATACAATGAGCAAACAGCCGTACAATGAGGTAGCAAACAGCCGTACAATGAGATAGCAAACAACCGTACAATGAGGTAGCAAACAACCGTACAATAATTAATGAGATGGCAAACAACCGTACAATGAGATAGCAAGACACCGTACAATGAGATAGCAAACAACCGTACAATGAGGTAGCAAACAACCGTACAATAATGAATGAGATGGCAAACAACCGTACAATGAGGTAGCAACAAGACACCGTACAATGAGATAGCAAACAACCATACAATGAGATAGCAAACAACCGTACAATGAGATATCAAACAACCGTACAATGAGATAGCAAACGACATTACAATGAGGTAGCAAACAACCGAACGATGAGCTAGATAGCAAGCAATCGTTATATGAGGTAGCAAGCAGCCGTCAAGTTACGAATAACACCAATGGCGATTTCTTTGTCATTTTTCCTTAACCACGATTGTTTAATTGTCTTGAGCACAGCTGACATTCTTCAAAGCATCAATAGGATTTGCTCCTATATTATATATAAAGCTTAAATCGGTGTTCGAAGTCAACAATTGTGTCATTTTTTTTAGGAATCGGGATGAGAAATCGTTTTATTTCGGAAAATACCGGTAAAGGTTTTGTCCAGAAAGCATCCCTTTTATGTAGCACCTAGTTTTAAAGTAACAATTCCTCAATGTTTGATCTGTATTATTTTCGCATTTCACTGACTTGCACGCGGAAGTTTTAGCCGTCAGTAGTGTATATACACGCTGTGCGATTGGCGTTCTTAATTTTTATTGAGGTCAGACGTAATGAAATTAAAACACCTGCACTTTGTATCCAATTACTTTATCTTTAATTTGTAGGTTTGGCAACCGGTTCAACTTTTTGTGTGTAGAACAAGGCGCTTCCTTCGGTGTAGTAAGTGCAACATAAGTGTATTACAGGTGATAAAATGTCATTAACAAAAGATTGCTTGCTATCTGGTGTCATTTTATATGTTACAAGAGACCCTACTCCGCGCACTATTAAAACAACTGTGGCCGAGCACAGTACCAAGAAATAAGCTGTCAAGCCATAAAACCTTCCTCCTGTTTATTACAAACTTTTTAATGTACTCCTGGGCACCCTCTTCCTCCCCCACACGCGCGCAAATAAGATAAAATGATAAAAATAAATAACAATGAATACAAATGTACATATTATTCTTGTATAATAAAAACAAATGATTAATAATATATTAAGTAAACAAATTTTAGTCTGCATCATGTTTCATAGTGTTTTCTAATCATGCTAAAATAAAGGTATATCTTTGTCCTTTTTAGAAATAAACAAGATACATGTATGTATCGTGCATATTGTACCACAAGAAATTGTGAACAAAACATGTAAAACGTTATATCTTTGCCATATTTATCCAAATAAATGGATATTACTGGAGAAAAACACCAGCACTACCGTCAACAAAAGCATCTGCTGATTCAACAAGATGCATTACACACCAGATAAAATGCATGATACGGACTAAATCGCCTTTAGAACCACGTGACTTTTTATAACCTGCGAACGTAGGACAGAAAACCAAATCAGAATAATGATAATGTTAAAGTTACAGGAAACCACTTCCTGGACCGTGCATGTATAATGCATTTATTATCTGTCAAGCCATATGGTATAGACAGCGTAATGCTTTTTTCTTTTTAGGTTGGCTCTTACGTCGATCTAAAACAATATAACAATACCTAAGATCATATAATTATGGCAATTTTCCAACTTTACTGGTTGAGGAAGACCTCGGGTATGAACGGGCACCTGAGTAGAACCACCGATGTTCAGTAAGCTAGCTGGATAAGTTTCCTGTAATATAAGAATAAAAAGTCCCAGGCGGGATTCAAACCCACAGCGGCGAGGGAAAATTATTTTAAAGTCGAAGGCCATATCCATTCGGCCATGTCTCCCAGACCTCGAGATGACTTAAGTCTTTAAATCACATTTTACAAGGTAAACAGCGCAAAACCGTGAATCAGTATAGTGACCTAAATATTAGCACTGAACATACTTGTAAAGTTGGTATTTAAATATTATGTCATACAAGGATAAGCCGATGGAAACTATTATGACCTCTTAACTTGATAAAATAGTGCAAAACCATGGCATACTTTTTGCCGTATGTTGTATATTCGTTCAAAATGTAGCTCATCGTAGCTAGTGCATGTATCACTGTGTATAACTTACAATGTCGAAGTGCGATTGAAAGAAACACTAACACCGCTTAAAATGAATTAGATTTTTGGGATATTTCATAGTGACAACTAGACTCAAAAGTAGCACGCAATGGCAGTAAATCAATCATATATTTGACATTAAACGTGCTTTAAAAATGACGTTAGGTACACATTACTTCTACGTTTGTAGAAGTCAGTATAATAACTTATGCAGTAAAATTCTGAACATTTTTTCTATATTTTTTTGGAACAAAACTGAAGTCGAACTTCTGTGTAACCGTTATATACAATGGTTGTGAATTTGACCTGTTTTCAAGAGTCAGATAATTAACTTTAATAGCACATATGTACATGTATTAAGATAAGGTATGACTTTTTCACATATAAAACTACATGTTTTACGACTATTGTCAGATCCATTCCATTCGTTTGCTCTGGAAGAATCATGGAAGGCAAAGCGTTTTGTGTTTTGTCCCTTGTCCTTGTTCTATTGAAAGGTAGGTTTAATTTATTATATAGTATTCTCATGATTATAGCACAGACACAATTTGAGCAGTTTTATTCGAGGAAATTCAGTTTTTGGTACACATAGTTACATACGTTATTTGATTTAAAAGGTTTATATTAGTGTAACGTCATACTTACTTTCTATCTCATATTAAAAGCTGTTATGTAATTATGCTTCTGCTAGGGCTGTAACACCAGAGCTGTAGCATTATCATAACAAGGTATGTGCCATAATATTCAATCTCTTTATAGACATATTATTGGATAATTTAAAAAGTATTTATGTAAATTAATAATAATAAATTATCTCCATAATTATTATGAAGGTTGCCTGTGTATACCACCACCCGTTCCAGACTTCGATGACGAATGGCCCGAGGAAGTGACCAATGGGTAATATAATGTTACATGTACACTCAGCATGTATGATTGATTGGGTCCTTTGCTGATATGATTTAATAAAGAATATGAGCCGCGTCATGACAAAACCAACGTAATGCGTTTGCGACCAGCATGGATCCAGACCAGCCTGCGCATCCGCGCAGTCTGATCAGGATCCATGCTGTTCGCTAGCAGATTCTTTACTTGTTATAGGGTCTGTAAGCGAACAGCATGGATCCTAATCAGACTGCGCGGATGCGCAGGCTGGTCTGCATCCATATGCTGGTCGCAAACCCATTATGTTGGATTTGTCATGACGTGGCTCATATATTCGAGCAGACATTATTTATGTATTGGTACATTTCTGCATTCACATCAATATTGATCCGTTGTATATTGTAAGCAATAACTTGTGTAATTAAAGAAATTGCTACAGTACAGAATTGATATTGTAAAGAAATTGCTACTGTAAAGAAGTTGCTATTTTGTTATGCTTCATACCATGTCACTATAAAGGTAGGCAAATGAGGCAAATGAGTTAATCTCATAATCTCAGGGAAAATGATTCTATATTACCATCTTTTCCTAAAATTGATTTTTTATTGTTACGATTATGAAGATGTCAAGATATAGAATTATATCAACATGTCTTGACAAATAAGAGTTCAATGAGACGTATATAAGGAACTTTGAAAAAAAAAGAAGAAGAAAAAACAACAACAACAAAACAAAGCAAAAAATGCATGGACTCAACACAAATACAGACTCCATGTATACGTTGAACATTTAGTATACACAAATCTTTCTTCTTTTCTTATATGTAACTGTTGCCATAGTAGTTGTACCCGAGTTTTGCTGTTGGTGATAATATTTTTTTATTTTTGACCAGACATATTTCTCTGCTGCTTTTCATGCAGAACGATCCGTTACTACTCGTTTTTGTATCCTACATAAAGGTCGGTAATTGTCAAAGTACTGAATGAGACGCGCATGCGTAGATTGTCACTCAAGTCCAGATACGTTTATCATAAGGGTGCCATCACGACATCAGACGGTGGCGGATACCGAATTAGAGTGGATGCAACTTACTCCGTTCCAGATTCAGCACTGAACATAGTAAGTGAATAAAATTGCTTAGTATCAACTTGTTCCTATTGTTTACGTTTTCTTATGTAAAATGTTTCCCTTCCAAGAGATACAAATTTGCAACTTGACCCCCAGCTTTTAACAGGACGAAATTAATCTTCATGCATTTAGCATTACGATAATTTATTCATAATTTTAAGAACTTTATATAGGACCATTTACACGTTTTACATTTACACCATCTAATTTCAGTGCAAGGGATTATTACATCTAGTACTTTCGTATATAACTATATATTACAATCGATCAATCTGGAGATGAAAAAATATCCCATATGCGCAATATTCAAATATCTGAAATTCAAGGGTTTTTTGGGGGGTGGGGGTCAGAATTTACGTACGTCGCACCAACACTTTATAGGTAATATTTTGTTTGGTTTTACGGCACACCAACACAATTTAGGTTATAGGTCGTATGGTGACTTTCCAGCTATACTGGCGAAGGAAGACATCAGATGCCCCTCCGTACATTATTTCAGGCATCAAAAATAAAAGTAAAGTTGTTTTTACTCTTCTTAGGCTGCATGTACTGCCAAGAAAATGACACAACGCATGCCATCCGATATTTTCAATAGACTGGCATCAAGCGCGAAGATCGGAATTTTCTCCAAGTCAGAGACACTCACCATTTACCCGGAGTATGCTAATGTAAGGAACCCTGCTGACTGTGGTACAAGTAAGTTAAATGAAGTCTTAAAATCGAATCCTTTGTTTTTTGTTTTCCGTTTTTTTATTGTTGAGATATTATTAAACAAAATCATGCACAGTCAAGTACATATACTTGGACATTTTTATCCATCATAAATTAACTTAAAACATGTATATCAAATGAATATATTGAGTATCAATATAGCAACATTCAAATATCACCAGTTACCTATTATTACAAATAGATATCACCGTGATCCCGGAAGCACAAACACACTGACGTGACCCTATGTTTTAGGTTACACATATGTTGACACTGATATATTTTCAGCCTTTTATTAAGAATTTCTAAACGGTAAAGTGACATCTTTACCGATTCAAGAGTATATAGTGAGTGAACAGTTGAAAAGGAATTTCTGTAAAATATGCATTGCTATAAAATTTTTGGAAGCCTGACATTCTTTTTATATTTTAGGCAGAGCTATCTTAAACACCTTTCAATATCAACTGTTGGTTAATCGCCATGATAACAGTCAATCGTTTTAAATATACACGTATATTCAATTTAGCTTAACGTGACAAAATGAGAATAATGTCACTTTAAGTTTATCTTATCCTTTGCATGCTTGGAATTCATTGTCTGCTAAAATGTCATCAACTTAATTATCTCGATATCAAATAACAAGACAGGTTTTCTGGCAGTTATCGCTTCAAGCAGACAAACAGCTAACAAAGTGTGATTTTTATTTTTATCAAGTAATGAACATTGCTATCATTGTATAACCAAATCACCTATTAATTGCAGCTAATTGTGCTGGTCACTGTCAACACTCTTGTACATTTGATGGTAGAAAATACTATACACTTGCCGGTGCCGGGGGTAGAAGGACAGCTATACTCTCTGACAATATCTTATGCAACAGTGCTGATCCTTATCATTCCACCAACAACATACTTGTCCATGAATTTTCTCACACTGTAAAAAATTATGGATTATCCTCGGCGGAGAGAAGTCAGGTAAGCTGGCATTATTATCATTTATTATGTCATAACATTTTGACCGTCGTTATTTCCGAGTGAAAATAAAGACATCTCTAAACATGGATTAAATACTTATAAATTATACATGTAATTTATTCTATAATTATGTGGCACTCAGTAACGTTTTGGTGAATATCATAAACAAAAATACACATACACTTATTTCAACTCTAAATATCAGAAAACAGGGCATCAGTTCCTTTTTGTAATAATTCTAACTACATGTACTGTAAAGTTTGTAACAGACAAATATCAAAAAGACACATTATATTCTTTTCGCACGAAGGTACTACTAAAATGTATCTAAAGATTATGTGAGCTCTCAGTTCTTAGGTGTTTCTTGGAACGTAAACCATCATCAGCATTCCGTATATCAACTAAAGGAGTTCTTTTTGATTTGATGCAGTTAACGCAAACATGATTTCACTTAATAACTTATTTGTTGTTTTTTTTGCTAATAACCTATATATGTTGATATTTTGATATATCAACAGGTAAATTCCGCTTACAACCATGCTAAGTCGGCACGTTTGTGGGCTGATTATTATCCCATGGCAACCGTTGAGGAATATTTTGCTGTCGGGTCAGCGGTGTATTTCAATGCCGACCACCAACGATATAGGGGAACCGGCAATCACATGGATCTGTAAGATAACCTTATTAGTCTCTATCTTAGAGTAAACTTAATTTTCTATGCATAGACTTAGTGTCTTAACATAATTATGCATGAAAACTAGATAAGAAAGACCAAAGCCACATACTTAGAAACACCCGATTAGTATAAGTATATTAGAACATTTTTTATTTGCAATATGAAATAAGTAAATGCCCCTTTTAGACAATGTTATTTCATCGCAGTGTGAGCTTTTGTTAACTTAGTGCCTGATAATTGTTAAAAGACAAACTATAATAGTGTATCTATTTGTATAAAAACCACGGGAATATTATTATAATTTGTTTTTCGTCCTTTACCTGTGATCAAATCTTTAGGTTTATATAAAATCTTTGTGTCAATTTCAGGTGCAGCGGAAGCAATTTTTGTACGTCCGAGTACCAATCAAGGACCCATCTTTATCAGATTGACAATCCCTTGTATAACTTACTGACACATGTGTACGACAATAATAAAGTCGGTAATTATGCCAACATCGGTGTATGTGGCAGTACCTGTTAAGTATTTTGTGTCATACGCAAACGCTCGTTTGAATAAAGTGTAATACAAAAATACACAGATTGTTTGCAAATGTGTTTTTTTGTCTTCCTACACTATAAAACATCCCATCAACTTGAAACAAGAAGAGAATAGCATACAATTCTAATTTCTTAAACTGTGTAAGCAATCTAAATAAAACACACAGTTTTATTTGGTGATAATTAGGTAAAATGCTAATAAAATTGGTATTTGCTAGTTATCATCCACGTCCCCTAGCACCGACTTTAGTAGAACATGGTAATTGTGAAATCATCCACAGGTGCGATCATACTGCAGTTATCATGGAACTTTCAATGGAAAACGTAAGTGCCATTCCATGAAAAGCAGGGAATATTTCTAGTCTTAGAATACAGAAAGACAGAATCCCTAAAGAACGTCAAGAACGGCAAAAAAGAAAATGTTGCAGAGTCGGTTTTATTAATCCTGTTTATGGATGCTTATGGATTTTCTAACAGTATTGTTCAAAGCTGTGTGTATAAGCAATAGTCAATAATGCATTACTGCACGACTGAGGAGAAATACAGACACTGATAGGTCTATCTTCATCTAGATATGGCAAACACGTTAAAAATTTGAATGTCCTTTTTGATGAAGTATTAAAAAAAAAGAACTTGCTGCTGGAACGAATAAAAATAACACTATATTCTATATAAAGACAATTTATCTCAGATGAAATCAATCACAGCAATTTATAATGATATATAAAGCAATGTACATGTACATCATATTAAGACAAAGACATAAAGCTAATAGTTTCCGCATGAATCCGTGGAAATATTTTAACATCTTTGTAAGCATGAAGTAAAGAAAAAAGCATAGGAAACTCCATCAAGGAAATACAATGTTTTCACCATTACTTGTTATGGTTTCTATGTAAACGACATGAGAGTGAAATACTTTTTTGCACCAAAATTCTTTTAACACTTTCTAAAAATATAATGCAAAAATGAAAATGATTCAACACCGTATTGGTTAGCGACCATTTACATGCATAGCACACAATTTTGAGTATAAGACACTCGATTTTACATTTTACCAATTCATATCTAAATATGTAGTTCTCTTTTTTAAGCGGAAAACGATTGCAATAAAACTAAAACTAAACTTGGTGTAAAGACGTTGGTAGAACGTCATACTACTTATAATGAGCAAAAACTCAAGGTGGTGAATTAACATATAAGAAAGTATCCCATATAAATGCATAAACCACTCTCGGTGGCTAGCCAGCTGTTCATCGGCAAACTTTGTGTTCCTTGCAACGTTACATTGGTTTGTAAATAATGAAACTGAACAGTTTGTTAAATTCTTTCAGTCTTGACGATCATTTCTTATCCCTTTATTCAAATAAATGGCTGACATAGATCGACTAAATGTCAATGAGGCGTTAAACAAGAGAACGTTTGGCATTGGTTTACAAGTTCTTCTAAGATATTATCAGACAACGAGGACTAAGGACGTAAAGATTGTTTGACTATAATTTGATACTAACTTTACTTGCGTGTGACACCAAGTGCTTACAAACCAGGAAGTATTTGTTTATAGATTAGGTAGTTGGTGAGATTAGAGCAAGTTGCTCTTTGTTTAAAAAACACAAATATCATCTGTCCGTGTAACATTTTATACATGTATATATATATATATATATAAAAATCAAATTGATTATTGAAATTAAAACTAATTAAATTAATGTAATTAAAGCATATAATTAATCATATTGTACACATTTGATTAAAAAATATCTCTTGACTTTTAAAAAAATTGTAACACATATCACTCAGCCACAAACTTTCCTTTTTTTCGGAAATAACTTTGTAATTGTAGTCTTGTGTCAGCCAGTTCAGAACAGTATTATACTAATATATATAACAATGCTCGTAAGAACAGCAACCGATGACGAGACGGTCGTTGCTGATGATATATCGACGAAAGAACCTTTTGGGCAGTTTATTTTATCCCATCCAGTTTTCTCTCCTGCTTTGGTATTTTTTCTTCTAACCTTCCTTTTAAAAAATATTTTAATAAACAATTTAAAGCAATCAATTTCATTTGGCCATTCAAACCGGAAAAAGTATTTTCAAATAAAAGGAGCATAACAGAAAAATTTTTAAAAAAAAAAAGATAAGTTTTTAATTAAAATGTGTTACAAAAGGAAAAAATTACTGCAAAGGTTTTAAAATAGTCCCAAAAAGGTTTCGCGCTGAGTCTGCTGGGGGTAACCATTTGTGTTTCTGTTATTGTCTATTGCTTTTCCCCCAACGGGAAGAACCCATTCCAAATTTCCTATAATAAATGGCAAAAACTTTTTTATAAAAACGCATCAATTATTTTATGATTAATTTAAAAATGAAAGCTAAAATTATCCATATTTTTTTTATAGATATCGATCGTTTGTTTGTAATCTATAAATAAGACAACAATGTTTTGAGGTTAATAACATATGTATACATTTTCAAATCTTAAATAAATGAACTATACATGTGTAGATTTTTTTGACAAGAATATTCGAATTTTGTCACATTAATTATCTATATACTATACATACTGTAGTCTTTGTCCAGCCACAGTGCTGTTATAAATGTCACATCTGTGAAGTCGATCTGTTTGTCCAATTAGCTCACATAGTGCTTTATGCCATTGAAACTGGGCGACAAAACTTACAAAATACCTACAAGACATAATGACATGCAAACATATATACACTGCTCTGTTACTCGTTACGGGCTCAATACTCCCTAGGAGGCCTGAGAGCACTGAACGGAAAGTTTATGTACACTTTCCACAATAAAATATGCCGCGGAGATTACTTATAATCTGATGAATTAATACGAAACTAGTATGTGTATTCATAAAATATTACATGTACTTGTACGTATAATATGGTTTTTATTTTTTTTAAACAAAGTCATCTTCAAAATAGTTTTACCATGTTAAAAGGATTGCACTAAGTGTAGTACGCATAATAACTATGTAAGGAACAGAAATAGAAGAATTTATGATTATAAGTTTGCATTTGGCGCAATAAATGATGAATAAGGAGTACTTGCCTGATGTATGGTGTGTTCCCAGGTATGTGATACTTTGCTCCAGGATCAAAATCCTTTTCTGATCTGGCAACAGGCGGAGATATCCCCTGATAACGACACCTGCAATAACAGTTTATAGTTTTTTGCACATGTATTATTATATACAATCCACAACATTTTAAAGATCAGGAAATTAAAAGTGAAACATGTCAGCTTTATCTTAAATTCCAATTGCATAAATGTCCGTTGTTTCCGTATTTATCCCTAATTTTGGGCACAGCATAGTAGCATCAAACATTAAACAAGTATAAAAACCACAAATTTAAAATTTTTTAACCTATTTTTTAAAAATCCTTCACCCGACCGGATATCTGTAATTATAAAAAATTACATTCAATAGCTGCCCCCAAAACTTATTTTTTAGCTCACCAATGAAAAATAAACGACGACCAATTTAAAATGTGATATGGTTGTGGTTTTTTTTCTATTGAAACAGATTTTTTTTTAAAACTTCCTTCATTTATACAAAAAAGGGTTTATAAAGCAACCTTTAAATTTCCCCCCTCTCTGTTGAAATTCTCTTTTTTTGTCTCCTCTCTGTAACCCCTCCTCGCCATTGATCAAAGAGGTATCCAAATGGCAAGAAAGTATTTTGTCCAATGCCCTTTGAAATAAGAAATTTTGTCAC